AATCACATTAGATCCTGCCCTGTCAGCCTCTCAGATCCAAGGGATAGTTGAGCAAGAGGAGGTTGAAGCACAAATAAGGGAGCAGATGCCAAGGGCTCCAAAGCGTGCTAGTCGGTGTAGCAAGTGTGGTTCCTTTGCTCACACCTTCAAACACTGTACAGTAGATTGAATAGTATTGTTATATAACACATTTAAGTCTCAAAGCAATCTATTAAGTATTGGTTGAGATAATCAGTGTTAAAGGTGGTAGACACGTAATTCGTGGACCACGCCGTGGGGTGGACCGCGCTCTGGTGTTTGACGTTAGAATAATCCGCGTTATGTAAGCGAGTCTAGAATCGCGTGAATATTCACAAATATTTCTTTGTTTAAAGATGTATCATCCATCGTTATTCGATCGACGACAGTCGACGCAGAAAGCGTCCGAGGAATCCACTATACGTCACCGATGTAGTGTGCGGACCGAGGGGCTTCTTCTGGATGTCTTATCACCAAGGAATGCGCCGGTCTCAGGAATACGCTAGTGGATAACCCGGAACTGACGAAAGCTGCGTCTGACAAATGGCTTATGCTTCGGTCCTGGCGACCGCACATGCTATTCCCACCACATGGAGGGAAATTTGCCTGGATAGGAAGCTTCCTTTCGTGGTCAAAATCGATGTCGTGTGCAGCGATGAGCAGTGGCTGAAGCTCATGCAAAGTTCCGTGACATTCAGATTCGTGGCCGACGAGTGAGAAAATGCCGCAATGTTGAGGATGCACAACATCCAAAACTTGGGACGAATTGATCATTTCAGTATCACTATCACCAAAATCAAGATGATGATCAGGATGCCGATAGTGATCCAACTTCCGTTTGCCTTGCTCTTGCGTGCGACATGACCGAGACGTCTTCGCGCGCGCTCCAAAGTGGATGTATGCCGATCAACGCCACGCTCCACGTCGTCCAACAACTCATTCTGCTCATCCAGCTCGTTTCCCATTTGAATACCTAACAAACGCTGCCGTCCAATGCTTTGGCCCAGAACCTCGAGTTGTTCGTCCTGGTCGCGAAATGCCTGCTTATGATGGTCGTGGATCTGCTGGTTGTCCATACTAGTGTGATCGATTCCGGTAGATGGTTCGTCTTGATACCGCTCTTGATCGGCAAAGAGGGCAGCGCGATTGGCACGCTCAATCGGGTCCCCCTCCTCTTCTGTATTTGGCTCATCGCGGAAGCGCGCGTTTTGCTTGCGTGCCGTACCTTTCTGCACCGCATCGGCCGTCTCTGAAGCAGATGTCTCGACGCTCATGGCGGAAAATTGTGACTGGAGAGTTTCATACTGTTTGCGCACGCGAGCGAGATCCGAATCAGCCTCCTCAGCTGCGTCCGACTTGGTTTGTCGAGTCTCGATCGCCGCTATGCCCGCTTGTAGTTGGGACAAGGTCTGTGATATTCGCGCATCATGCTGCGTCGTATCCTGATTCCGCGAAGACGCGTGCTGTCGTTCGAGCAACGATAACTTGAGCCGGTCTGCAAGAAGCAGAAGCTGGCGCGGTGTCGTCTCTGCCATGGTGTAACCGCCTTTCAATTTCAGGACTCAGCAATATTCGCGGTCAGAAATTGATCAGATCAGTGATCAAAATTTGGGATTGTTGTGGTATATGCAGAAGGACCTGTGCGCCTCTGATGTGCAGCTGCCTTGATCGTGCACTCAAACAGGCGGCTGTATATCAGCAGTCTGTGGAGCCCGAGCCATGAGATGGGGACGTCACAAGTACCTAAGCAACCTTGGAACTTCAGAGGGCTTGCACGTGGCACAGGTCATCTCTTGCCTCAGGCACCAATTCGGTGAGATCTCGTTTGCCGTTTGCCGTTGAGAGCCATGGAGCTTAAAAAACTGGGGAACGATTGTGGCTTCCCACAGGGCCCGCGCGAGCTTTGACCATAGCCCTGGTGAAGGGAACAGCTCCGCTTACGATGATCTCACTGCGATTTCAAAGACCGTCCCCAAGTCGTCCCTCGGATTTTATTGTTCTCTTTCCACATAAGTACAGTGCTGCGTCCACAGGTCTGGTTCACATCGACACAGTCGCTACATTCATCACGATCTTGTCATGGCGAATATAGTCGAGCAATTGGACCAGCAGGTGGCCCGCCTGTTGTCGGACTGGTCTGTCACCACAACAGTGCTTGCCGTGATCATTGTGGGCCTGGTAGTTCTACCCCTACTTTTCCCAGAGGAACCTGACACCCATCCGTTGCTACTCGCGCGTCAAGCCAGTGCAGGTGCGATCCGAAACCGAGGCGAGTCTGCTGCTTACCGCTCACCTGAAGTCCCTCACGGCTACCCGCTCAAGTCTGGTCTAAATGTCAAGGAAGATGGTGCCCCTCGTTGGGCCAGCGGGAAAAACGGGGACCTTCGAGATATATGGAGGGAGGTCGCAAGATCAGGGAAAGCTGGTTCTGACGGCACGCCACTACCACGAGGCCTGATCATGACGATACTTGGAAAAGAGGAGGTGGTCGAACATGATATCGAGACGATCAGCAAGGAGGTAGCCGCAATCGGCACGCACCTCGAAGCAAAGGGAGCCAAAAGAGTCGCAGTCTATTTGCCAAACAGCACAGAATTTCTGGCGAGTCTCTTCGGTAAGTCTGTACAGCATCATTCGTGGTCTGTGCCTTCTGACCATACAGCACAGCTTGTTCGTTTTATGGTCTGACACCCATCCTCTTACCTTTCAACCAACCGCATCCCAAAGCTTACCAGCTTGTCAACGAGACTGGCGCCGATGCTCTGATCTGCGCTGCTGGCACGCTGCCTCTGGACGATCTCAGCAAAGCGTGTCCACAGCTACGTCAGGTGACGTGGGTGGTGCAAAAATCGAGTAGACAAATGGACTGGACTGGCGTACCAGGCGCGGCGCAGGACAAGCTTACGGTGTCATTGTGGCACGATGTCGTAGCATCAACTCCGTCCACCGATCAACTTCCCAACAATGCGGATGGCAAGACACCGACCGATGTGGTTATTGTGTGGCAGTCCACTGACGCGGCTGTCAGACCCGAGATTGTGAATTTTACGCAGGAGAATCTTGTCTCAGCAACGGCTGCGCTTGTATCTGCTGTCCCGCTTCGCCAACGACTATCGCCTGCGGATCTTGTCTTACCGGCAGACTCATTTACGCACAGTTACACCTTGTGCATGACTCTTGCGGCGCTGTTCATGCATGCCAGTCTTGTTATTAACAGTGTTGCGGCACCAGGTGTCGATTTGACCTTGGCTCGGCGCGGCGCAGCACCGACAGTCATAATTGCGTCTGCGGAGACCTTGGCAACTCTGCACCAACGAGAGACTGCCGGCGTGACCTCACTCGCTCAAAACTTTGGCCGTTACACACAGGCGCAGACCATGTCAGCAGGCCGCATGCCGACAGATGGACTGCTGTTCAAACTCCTGGCACCCTCGAGCACAAAACACATGCCAGGCAAGCTGCGTCTGATATTTGTCTCAGAGAGGCTCGGTGGAGGCTCCCCACCAATCACGTCCACCATGCTATCGGATTTGCGTCTCTTTACGCGCAGTCGCATCATCTATGCGCTGACTACAGCAAAGGTTGCTGGTGCTGTGGCTCAGACTAACGTGTTTGATTATCGTCGAGATGACGGCATTGCGCACGCCCATTTCGGCATTCCATTGAGTAGTGTCGAGATCAAGCTGATCAACCGCACTGACTCGGAGGTTGCTACTAACGAGCCAAGGGGAGAACTGCTCGTTGCCGGTCCGGCTGTGCAAGGCGGCTCGGTAAAATTGGCGGCACGGGGACGAATTCGTCCAGACTGCACGCTTGCATATGCATGAGCAATTTACAGAGTATGTGAACGAAACTGCTATGTTAAAAAACTCATGGACGTGTGAACGACGTGCAAATATGTGGGGTGATGCACTGCGTTGTTTGTCGCGTGAATTTAGCCCAGGTGTCTTATCAGATCCGAGATGAATTCTGTAGCCCAATTTCGGAAATTCTCAGGGTCGGAAATTTCTCTAAAGTCCTTTGTGGATCTCAAATCCAGATATGATATTTGCGCTGCTTGTTCAGCTTCGATCTCAACACCGGTTCCCCGCCACATCGTCCATGTATGGATACCACCGCTTACTTGAAACGCCAAGGATGGAAGGGCGATGGCCACTCCCTGGACCATAGTGGACGCGGCATACGGAAGCCCTTGCTCGTGAGCAAGAAAATCGATGTTCTTGGTCTTGGATTGAACAAACATGCCGCAGTCTCAGATCAGTGGTGGATGCGAGCGTTCGACGAAGGATTGAAAAGCTTAGGATCTGGCAAGGATACTGCGTTGGCAAATGTCCAAAAGCACGGTATTCACCATGGGAGCCTTTACGCTCGATTTGTGAAGGGAGAGGGCGTTGCCGGCACCATCGGGCAGACTCCACAACAAAACGACCGTTCGAGTGATGTGTCCGCCCTGCCAAAAGGCCGGAGAAGCACAACAACTAGCATGACCAATCTGGACATCGCGGCGCAAAGGCTTGAGTCGCAATCAAACATCGCGCATCTGCAATGGAAGCTGAAGAAAGCGAAAGAGAAGCATGACAAGGCTAGTAAGAAACATGCGTCTCTTGGAAGCGACGCTGGCACAGAAAAGCAGTTGCAGCGAAAGTCCAAACTCAACGCAGCTGCCCAGAAGCTAGACAAAGCATTGAAGAAGTTGAAGAAGGCACAACGCAAGCATGAGAAATTTCCAATCGCCGGAACTCCGGCAGGATGAAGCAGCCAACGCACCCAGGCAATGGCAACACACAAATACCGAGCAGGTTGATTGCCACACTGAATCTGTACTCAGAAGTAGGCTCTCACATCGTACGCATGCTCAATGAGCTCCGGACAAATGCGCTGAGAGGGTTCCTCTGTGCTCTTGAACCGACAAAATCCGTCTCACCTGCCATGCTCGTGGAAAACCGTCCGAGGCGCACTGGTCTCGACTTCAAGCTACACATGATTGATACAAAACGCGACCACAAGAAGCCCTCGGAACTTTTGACTCGCTACGCCATTGACAGTAGCCAGTGCTTCCAGTCCTATCTGTGGTCATAATGTCTCAAGATTGTCGAGGCAACCTATGAAGGTCACACAAATTGGTCGCTTCTAGCAGAAATGAAGGCAATCTGTGGGATCGCCAGGAGCAAGAGGTTGGTAACCCACCATGTCAGTCTTGCGCAAGAGCAATCGAACAAAGACGCAATTTCGACCTAGTTCATCCGCGAGTTTAGGGTTCTTAGGAGGTCTCGTCAAGTTGCTGAACGGGGTGGAATTTGATATCAATAATTGAATCGGGTGACACGACAGGATTGAGATTCCTACGATTGGGTCGGCAGGGTCGCGTGAGCTGACATTGACCGCCTCGCTGCATCGCAACACTGGCCATGAACACGATGGACAGTCGTGGAACAAGTGGGTTGCGCCGAGACATGCAGTGCTCTACCAGTTGTTTTCGTGACGGCATCCACGCCTCCTAACGACCTCGCGGGCTGCTACAAAAACCTTTGTTCGGCAAATGTGCTGGCTTCGAATCATCGACACGTCCAATGTCTGTTCCGACAGACAAGTCGGGACTCCTTCAACAGGGATATTTAGATGCGCATAAAATAAAAAGCTAAATGAATCACTATCATGTGTTCTTCGTGCGACATATTCCTAGCATTATTCCATTTCCAATTAATGACACGCATTTTCGGATCCTCTTGTGTAATGATTCCGACGCTTGGAAATCGTGGTAATCTACGTGGGTTGTGATTCATCATTTGCTCTCGCAATGTGGTACTGAGGCCAAGCTTACGAGGTACTTTGGGTGAGTCCCCCTCACCGCTGTCGAAGGTGGACAATCGCACGGCGAGAGACTACGCAGATCTGAGTTCAGCACGCCATCATCAGCTCGCGATTCGCCCGCGTCGCCATCTCCGATTCTCGCGTGGTCCATCCATGCTGAGCAGATAGAATACCTAGGTATTCTAAACATGCCCCCGGCCTTGTCCCTGTGATTATAAATTGCGCCTGAGTCGCCGCCACTCATGCTAGATTTATCTATAGTCCACAGATCTAACGTCGTGCAACTGTAACCTTCTCATCTACCTTCCGTCTCCCGACTAACAATTTTGCATCGCTTCAAATCTTTTGTTCGAATCCATACCTCGACAACGCGAAAAACGCGACTCCTTTGCGAAACAGCCGAAACCGTCGTTCGTGAATCTTAAATCCGACGTCCTGAAAATGACCGCAGGCAACTACAAGCACGTTTACAAGTTCAATGTGGCCATGTCCTGCGGCGGCTGCAGCGGTGCAGTCACCAGGGTCCTGAAGCGATCCAACCTTCGAAATCTCAGCGACCCAGAGGACACGGAAAAAGGTAGGAAATCTTCCGCTTGATCATCCTCCAGACGAGAAGCGTGTAGTAATCAATGTTCGCTTGCAGCCGCCGGTGACTTCAAAGTCGATCTTGACGCCAAGACTGCTGAGGTTTACGCCTTGGAGTACACCGACGAGGCCACAAATGCTCCAACGACCCTCTCTTTCGAGAAGGTGCTCAAGACAATCCAAGGCACTGGCAAGAAGGTCAACTCCGCCGAGGCCGATGGCGTTGCGCAGCCCGTTTGAGCGCACAATCCCGAATACGGAAGACGCATTTTCTCCTCGCACGATCGAGTGTTGAGACAGTCGCATAATATACACCAACATTGTTTTCGGGTTCGAAAGGTCACATTCCGATGGCAGCGTGCGACTACAGTCTCGATGCCATCGGGGCTTCTAGGTCGCAATAGTCATTCAAACGAGCATACATATTCTCACGACAGATCCTGGCAGCAAATTATTGTCCATAAAGAATGGATGCATTGTGTCAAAATCGTTGATTTTTTTGTTTTCACATGGTGCAATTATCTTCGTACAGTTCACATCAATTTGTTAACCCTGCCCCTTTCCATCAAATGGGACAAGCCACTTTCATGATACCTAGCCGTCAATTTAAAATCTCGACTCGACCTTCTTGGCAACATCCTGGAGTGCCCATTCACTACGCGCAGTCTTGCTGCGAACGCTGTCGGCCTGGCTCTTTGTGAAGCCCTTAGCCACGACGGCCGGGTTGTAGCCAACAGTCGTCCTCTTAGCAACCTCCTCGTCACTGACTGCCTTCGCAACCTGACCATCGGCACGCTGGTACACAGTGACGACGACTGCACCTCCGAGACCCAAGTTGTGCTGCAACGTGGACTTGGTTCCGTCGATCAATCGGTTGTTGGCCCATCCACGGAGGTGCCATACTAGCTCAGCACACTGCGCAATGCCAGTGGCGCCAAGCGGGTGACCCTTGCTGATGAGCCCACCGGACGGGTTTATGACCATCTTGCCGCCGTAGGTGATGTCACCGCGTCGGACCATCTCGTGGGCCTTACCATGCTCGCTGAGGCCCAGCGCGTCAATGGTAATCATCTGGTTAGCGCTAAAGCAGTCGTGAAGTTCGCAGACCTTGATGTCATCGACGGTAACACCAGCTTCGTCCATGGCAAGTTTGGCGGCGTACTTGGTCATGTTGTAACCCACCAAGTCCATTGATGACCGGCTAAATGCAGCTGGGCTATCGGTGGCCAGAGTCTGGCCGGCAATGAGTACTGCCTGCTCCTTGAGCTCTGGTCGAGCGTCAAGGAAGTCTTGTGAGACGAGAACGGCCGCGGCACCGCCATCACTCGTCGGGCAACATTGGAGCTTGGTCAGAGGCTCGTAGACCATTGGTGACTGCATGATCTGGTCCAAGGTGTAGTCGTCTTGGAATTGGGAGTATGGGTTGCGCTTGGAGTGCTCATGGTTGATACGGGCGATCTCGCCAAAATCTTCGTTCTTCGCCCCGAATTTCTCCTTGTACTCTCGTCCACCGTTACCGAACAACTGTGCGGCACCAGGGGCTTTGGAGATACCTCGAGTCTGTGCCATGATCATTCCGAACGTCCCTGTGGGGTTCTCACGGTCCTGGAAATATGACGCCAACGAGCCTGGGTTCATTTTCTCGAAGCCAACGACCATCACGGCTTCGGCCATGCCGCCTGCGATCATAGTCCGACCAAGTTGCAAGCCTGTCGAGCCGGTGGAGCAGTTGTTGTTGACATTGTAGATCGGAACTGATGTCATACCGAATTGGTAGAAGACTCGTTGACCGCAGGTGCTGTCACCGTAGCAGTAGCAAGCCACACCAGCGTCAATATCATCGTAGTTTACCTGAGCATCGAGGAGAGCTTTGATTCCGGCCTCATAGCCGAGTTCAGTGTAGTCGACCTTGCCACGGGGCTTGATGAACTTGGTCATGCCCACGCCGAGGACGTAGACATTACGCTTGCCTTTCGGTGCTTTAGGCGCCATCTTCTCAGGAATGTGATGTGGAGGGATATATGCGTTGGGGTTTGCTCGGCACAGATGATAAGTTCTGGTTCGAGTCTCCAGTTATTCTTATTTTATATAGCGAACTACGAAAGTCTTCTATCATGCTCGCTGACTCGGGAGCTCAGTGTCGTCCAAGGGCAACTGAGTGTCGAACTTCTGCTGGTAAAGTTGTGTGGCGGGAGTCTCATCCGGGGAAACAGTTTTCCTGGGGTAGAAAGATCGCCGCCTCGGCTTCTGGTACGAAATATACGAGCATACCTATCCGGACAAAGTTATATCACAACACAAGCGGGCGACCAAGCGTTGTGCTGATTACAGTAAAGACAGGCTAACGGCAGACAAACATCAAAGCCACTCGTTCTCAGCTTGCTTAGCGGCGTCCACTGATTCAAAGCACGCGTGTCATACGCGATACCTGAGAACCGAAGCTTCCCAAGTGGCTTACATTTTCATAGCGGCACCATGCCTCATGCTGCAGCGACGGGATGGAATTATGTCAGTGCCATGGCTGTCAGACATGCCAGGATCCGCACCCGTAGATTCGCAACATCGCTCAGGACTCAATCTGGAATTAACGCCCCAGAAGCAATTCTCGCAAAACCAAGCTGGTCAGTCGCCGCGCTCTTGTCACCACACCATGGCTCGTCGAGACCGCCAGCTGTCACGACACAGCAATTACACCACTTGCTTCGACTCTCAGCTCTGCCCCCTCCAAGGAACGATGAGGAGGAGCGCGAAATGCTAGCAACTTTGTCCTCTCAACTACGTTTTGTGCAGGAGGTACAGAACGCCGACACGACCGGTGTCGAGCCTCTGCAAAGTCTGCGTGATGAAACGGCCGCGGGCGAGCAAGAGGCCGAAATTGGTCTGTCGACATTGGAGAAAGCCCTGGCACAAGAAGACATTAGAGGTACCCATCATCGTCGGGTTCGAAGACGCGCAGCTCCTTCAAACGTAGAGCAAGATGAGACATGGGATGTTATCGGCGCCGCGCGGAGACGAGTTGGACCATACTTTTTTGTGGAAGGAGAGGATAAGAAATGAAAAATTCTCGATCTTTGATGGAAGAGATGAAGTTCTTATGGGGCGAAGTAAAGGTGTCGCCAGCCATGCACTTCGTTGATCGCTGTATCCCCGCCGGTCTAGGGTGTATCACGACGATTGTGGTTGTCGTGCAACGTAAGAGAAAGCCGCCTGCTGAAACGCCATTCACCGTGTGCCGAAAGCCATCACCAATCGCAGGCTTCAGCAATGATCTGTGCAAATTCCTCAAGATACTTCTGATCTTCCAGATCGAAGCCCCCCTTCACAGCGCAATCAAGGTCAATGATGGCGACCAGCTTAGGCTGATGTCAGTCACCTGATACATCGAAGTCAAAAGTCAGATACTCACTTTGCCATCGCGGACAATTGGAACCACAATTTCACTCGCAGACTCGCCGTCGCAAGCAATATGACCAGGGAATTCCTCTACGTCGGGAACGAGCTGCGTCTGCTGTGAGGCTGCGGCTGCTCCACACACACCTCTGCCGAACTTGATTGTCTGACAAGCAACCTTTGCGAATGCGTGAGCTCATTGACAACGATCTGATCCAATTCGTCCAATCTGACCTTGCCTTGGAATGGCCCGAGGATCAACTGGTCCTGCTGGAATGGGTCTGAGACGTAGAAGCCAGCCCAGTTGACTCTATTGCTTGGATGCGGTGCGGCGTGGAGTGCATGCCACAACAGCGCTGCTGCATTTGCTGTATTACTGTTCATGGCATTAAGTAGTGCATCTGGAGCGCGCCCATTCAGGACACAATGCCGTACCATATCTTCACATAAGGTTAGCTTTCAAATTTCATGGCAACACAGCATTTATGGGAGAGTGCCTGCCCAATTCCGTTGGCCGTCGAACAATGCTTTGGCTTGCTCGATTATCTGCTCGTAGGCTGCAGATTTGCTGACGCCAGCCTCAAAGTTGGATGCATCCGCATGGACCTTCAGGAACACATCAGTAATTCATTCTTTGAGACACAAAAGACTTCAGCCATAACCATTACCATTCTGTGATCGGTTGATGAGAAGAATGTTGATATCCTGCTCAAGCTGGCTGCTGTGACGATTGCACTGTAACCAAGATTTGCGGCGCCGAAATGTCCAGAAAAAAATAGAAGGTCCCAAAACTTGATATTACGGGATAATATGATGACAATAATCAGAACGCTATTCGGAGCATCAAAGGTTATTAATTAGTAGATATATTAATCAACATGTACTGTAATACACAGTGGGAAATGTTCAACATCCTGCACTGCGGCCTTCTTGTGAAGCACGACAGTGCTGATCATCTTGCACCATCAGGCTAACGTCTGTCAAACCAGCCCTGGAGTGCAGTAGAATCCACGGGACTTGTAATTGCGCTGTCGAGTATTCCAAGGTTGGGAGACATTGGTTACTACGGCGAAAATCGGAGCCTGATAACCACCTGGACCAGGCACCTGTACATGGGGGAGTCATGGTGGGAAATCAGCCCGATCCTCCCACTTGGACAACCCCGCTGTCGTGCGCCGTTCCCAATGACGGATACAGGTGCCCCACCATCGAGGCCCGCTGCCAGCGAAAGAGAAATGATCCGGAGGCATTGGAACCGGACATGGGGCTGTAGAATAGCTGTGTACATATTGTAGTTACTGGCCGGTAACTGGCATTTCCTGTACAACCAAATATCTTATATCGTGCTGCGTTCGCCGAAATTGGTGTCTTTCTTACAAGCATGGTATCCTCAGGTAATCAGGACCAACGGGGATGTGGTCGCAGTCGCACAGCAAGTTCCCACGGCTAAGCACACGCGCCAGGCCTTCCTCCCAGCAATGCCACGAGCGACACCCACAACAACGATGATGCTCTCGTCCTTTCAGATGATCCACTTCACCCGGCCAACCACATTTGCGAACTATGCTACAAATTCTACGGACATGGTTGGGTCACGGGCACTGGTGGAGGCATCTCCATCAAACGGGATAACCATGTCTACATTGCACCGTCGGGCGTGCAGAAGGAATTGATGAAGCCGACGGACATGTTCGTTATGGACTATCATACGCGAGAATACCTTCGAAGGCCACAGGTGAGTCATTTGTGACAAGGTTGTGAAGCGATTGCTGGGGCAAAGTGGTTTCTGACACCTATATCCTGCAGGTCTTCAAACCCTCCGCATGCACACCTTTGTTCATGGCTGCCTTCACCAAACGAGGCGCCTCGTGTTGTATCCACACCCACTCGCAGTGGGCCGTGCTGGTGACTTTGATCTGCGAAGCCGGTCTTCAAGATTCTGGCAAAGACGTCTTCGCACTGAAGGAGATAGAGCAGATCAAGGGCATCTCCCGTGGAGGCACTGGCAGCACCGAGATTGCCGAAGGTGGGCGAAAATTGGGAAACCTAGGTTACTTTGACACATTGAAGATCCCAATCATTGAAAACACGGCGCACGAGGAGGATCTCAAGGACACCTTGGAGAAAGCGATCGAGGAGTGGCCGGAGACTTGCGCAGTTCTGGTGCGACGACATGGAGTCTATGTTTGGGGCAAAGATGTCACGCAGGCCAAGACGCAGTGCGAAAGTCTGGACTACATCTTTCAGCTCGCAGTGGAGATGCACAAGTTGGGTCTGAAATGGGTTTGATGCACAAGTCTGGAGGAGGTGACATCAGAGCCATGTCCTAATGTGAGCCGCTCGCCGGCGTTAAACGCATCTTCAACAAAGGAAGCCTGAAAATAGCATGACTGTTTGCACGTAGATGTAAACAATTGAAAGATATTGATTCAAAACTCACGAATAAAATGATTCGATCGCGCTTCCGTAGCCGCGTTCTCGAGGATATGTCTGGCCCTGGGGCCATTGATAAATGCGAATGATGAAGCTTCTAGCCTGAGGCTGAAAGTCAATGCGGTCATACAAATCTACCTGCCCAGGTGCACAAGACTTTTGTTGTGCGGGCAGACGATCAACACCTCGTCCATTGACGATGATGAGGTCACCATCCCCGGTTCACGTCCACTGGCGCGTGCCTGCAGCGTGCGCAGGCTGTCGATGGTTCATACGCATGGAGGACTCTGCTCTTGTCTATCTCTCATCATTCCGTCATTCTTCATAACAGCATTTAGAAGTATATATTCCTCAAACCCACCTGGCTGCTCTTGATCCAATCGAGTCTCATATCTAGCACGAATCTACGCTTCTCATCACCGTGATCGGACTCTCTGCCAATATCCACCATAGCTTTCCAACGCCCCATTGTTCGTTTGCAAGGTCTCGCACGTACAATCCAACGTACGATGGCAAGCACCTCCCATACCGACACGCCCAAGGAGGCGCCATGGCGTGCAACTTTCCTCGAGCATGTCAACAGCATGGACAGTCCGGAATTCGTCTTTGCATCGTTAGCACCGGCCACTTCCTCATCCAGCCCAACGCCATATGTACCGCGAGCTAGATTCTGTATCTTCCGTGGTCTTTGGGCCGAGCTCCCGGAGAACAAGCACAATAATGCACCCAAGAACGAGCGTGTCTACCAGAGTGATATGCCTACCTTCACAACAGATGTACGCATGCAAAAAGTGTGGGAGCTTTTTGCGAGCTCGCCCGGGAAGGCGGAGGATGTGAGCCAGGTACGGGGTAGTGGCGGTGGTGGTCCTTGCGAGGTGAGTGGACAAATTTTGATAATAGCTCTTGTCTCTCGAGCTTACAGAAGTCACAGGCGGTCTGGTGGAACAAGGAGACCAAGATTCAATGGCGAGTGAAGGGTGAAGCGTACATCGTAGGCCCAGACATTGAAGGAGAAGGTGAGCAGAGCAAGGAGAGCAGTGGTGTGCGGACCACGAAGAGCGAACTCGGGTCGCGCATGCGTATCGTCAAGGAAGACGGCACGGACAAATGGTCATGGAAGACGGAACTGACGAGTCATTTTGGCAACGTCTCTCCTGGCATGCGAGGTACATTATCTGAAACCATTGTATCCAGTTACAAGCAGAGCACACGACTGACATTGGAATCGACACAGGCTCATTCGCAAACCCACCACCAGGCAAGCCCGTTGACGAGCCCTTCGAGGGCGACCTCAAGGTGGGCGAGAAAGTCGAAGATCTTGACGATGCCACTGCACGGCAAAACTTCCGGGTGGTCGTCATCAAGCCTGAGGAGGTCGAATCCGTTGACCTCAGCGATCCGAAGACGTCTCGCCGCCAGCTGTACAAGTACGACTCGAACACATCTTCTTGGTCGCAGCAAGAGCTTTGGCCGTGAAGGAGTCGGGTCTTGAACTTATCTGTATTGCATACTTTTGCCGTAGACACAATGTGCTTGCCATTGTTCAAACGTGACGGAATATTTTCCGGCTTGCTCGCTTGGTGACACTTCAGAGAAACACGAGGCCAACTTGGGTCATCGACGACGCAGTACAAGTTCATGTACCTAGGTAGTCGTGGTTCAGGACGAGCTTGGATCATTCCCCTTTGTATCAGGTGATTATGCTCGCAACCACACGCCTTGCACCACTAGGATTACATGAGGCCAAAATAGTATTGTCCAGATAGCGAACATCAGACTCCAAATAATTTTCTGTGGCTCCTTGAAGACGATGCACAGCGCGGTCCTGCACATCAACGATGTATTGCAGCTGTACTTATTATGGTGGGCATGCAGATTGGTTGAGCTGCAACGCGCTCTGGTCGTGGCTTTCTGCGCTAAGCCCGTATTGTGCTGCATCTTCGGTAGGCGAAAGTTTTCATGGACTGTTCAAACAAACAGTCCTATGCATCTGCTCAACTTTTTTGCACCCGCATATATCGATCTGCATCCACAATGCGGGTCGTGCATCATCACGATGAAAAGCTTCCCTTCGCTTATTTGCTAGGCACTTGTCTAGTCAAGTCGCTGCATCTACTTCGGCACTGTACCTATGCCATTCTCGTTATTGGTTCACGCAGTTCTCCGGGAACAAGACAGATATTGCACGAGCCCGCTGCTGCCATTCCGTCCCAGTCCTAGGCGTACGAGAGCTGCATTGGCGCATGTGCATTTGCCTGATCTGACCTGGACCAATGCTCGCCAACTCCCGATCCAGTACCTCTCAATGATGATCATCACCACTATCAAGCATAATGATGATAGCATTGGTGGTTGCGGAGCTCTTCGCATGGATACCTCTGCATGCATGCGCATGCCATCCAGTAGATACGAAGCGGTAAGTCAGCATGCTGTGTTGATCTTCAACTGAGCATCGTAGCGAGGTCTTCGTTTTTCTTTCTTCTTCAACTTCATATAGACCGTTCCCCTCCCTACACGACACTCTTCTCGAAGTCCATCATCCCCTGACCTTGACTTTCTATTATGGCGATCTTGAGCAAAGTCGGGGGCACTTTTGTTGACCTCTCGGTCATCGCGTGGGACAATGTCATCGCCTTGATGAACCTCGTCACGCCCAAGATCAAGGAGGGTGATGTCGTCCCCGCTGGAGCTCCTGGTCACCACCTCAAATGGCCCGAATATGTGGCACCGAAGGAGGGCGATTCGCGCTCCGCCTGCCCAATGTTGAACGCCATGGCCAACCACGGAATCCTCCCTCACGATGGCAAGAATATCACTTTCCGTGAGCTCGACACCAAAGTGCGCCAGACATTCAACTTCGCCTCATCGTTCTGCTTTTTCGTCCCCAATTTCGCCGCCCGCTTCCTGAACAAATCCTACCGAAATGACCGCTTTGACCTCGCCGACATCAGCCTGCACGCTGACAACGCCATTGAACACGATGCCAGCTTGACCCGACACGACGCCGCCTTGCAGCCCGACCAGGGTAAACCTGATCTGGAGCTTGTACACCAGCTTCTCCAGGAGGCCACTGGGACTTTCCCTGACGGAACACCTCGATTGACTAAGGAGGATCTTTCGCGAGCTCTGTCTAGGCGTAGAGTGGAAGCGCGCAAGTCAAACAAAGATTACTCTGAGAGCCTTTTTCACAACATGTTCGGAAGTGCGAAGTGAGTGGCATTAGCTTACGATATTTGCTTTCGAAGCTTCATGCTGGTCTCGTGCAATTTTACTAATTTAAATACTTCCTCTAGCTCCTCAACCATGCTGACCATTTTCGGCGGAAACGTCGCCGATCTCACGCCTATGCTTACCGAGGAGCGCTTCTCCGAGAATTGGGAGCCACGTGTTCGGGACCGCTTCGGCCTCACAATGGCCAAGTTCAACTTCACCGTGTTGCCTGTCGAGCGAGGCGTGGACATTAAGAAGTACCAATAATTGGACGATGAAGGCACCGAATTGTCTGCAGTGTAGATCAACAGCGGACAGAAGAGATTATGATTTTATGATCTGAGTGGAGCGCCAGGAGCAGAAGAGCTCTTGACATCCAAGGTTGGTGCTGAAAGCAGCGAGAATTGGCTGTAATCGTAGCTTCAGGGAAGCTCGACGTTCTCAGCAGGAAGAGAGTTTTGACAGCAAATATGGATTCCCAGGCAAGGAGGGCCTTCCAAGACGGATGGAACTGCCAATTTCGGACAGATTTCAAGCATTATGATCATGCGCGAGGAATATGCAATGTTTTCAAACACGCTTCCGACGCTCCGAGCTGTGCGACTCCATGGAACGGGTAGCCGCCATTGGAATCGTATCATGAAACCTTCGCCGATGATTTGTGCGTGACAGTGGCGAAGAGACTTTCCGAGAACGCATCGGTGATCCGTCGATCGCCAAGATTACGCCCGATGATGACAATCTTCCCAACATCCTCGAATGGCCCTGAGACAATATCCTTGCCAGGTGGTGCATCAATGAGATCGAAGATCTCTCTCACGCCTTGTAGCATCTTGATTCTCCCGTCTTCGAAACACACGCGTCCTTTGATTCTGTGAATGTCCCAGGTAGCGGCCACGTCTTCTCTGCCCAGTAATCGATTGTCCCACAATAAAGCTCGCAGCCAGGCATCGATGTCAGTGATGGCATCGTTCGCCAGAAGTGGTACGCTCAGAGCGATAGTCGCAATGCTCGGATCCAAGTGACTGTGACCTTTGCTCGCGAACTCCAGATTCTCCGCGTCAACATGGTCGTACGCATGCAAATCCAACACCAAGCCTTCCAGTTGCGGGATCTGACTGTTCTGCGTGACTCGCATCTGTGCAAGCGTGTTGATTGAGCGTACCCGTTGCTGTACGGCAGCGAGCTCTTCAGTCGTGACTAGATCAGCTTTGTTGACTACTAGCACATCCGCATGAGAAATCTGTAAATGTGCCGTCGACAGAAGCGCTCCTTGATGATCATGTGTCGACCCCTCCAAGGTTACTGCTTCCTCGCCTGCGGGTTCGTCCAGACATCTAAGAATATTCTTGGCGTCTACGAGCGTCACAATGCCGTCAAGGTAGATTGTGCTTCCGAGGCCCTCGTCCACCCAGAACAGCGGTGCGATATTTCCAGGGTCGGCCAGGCCTGTCGTCTCGAGGAGGATGTAATCAAACGCCCCTCGTCGTTCCATGAGAGACTCAATCGCGTTCACTCCAGAGTCTTTGACAGAACAGCAGATACAACCGTTGGCCAATTCAAGCCATTCCTCGACTTGCTGATCGCCATCGTTGACCGTCAGAGATTTCTCAATATCGCTACTATTACCGAACTCTTTGGAAAACATCAGCTCCGGCAGATGGATTTCAGACTCGGTCAAGAGGCTTTACCATTGAGAATCACAGCAATCTTCTTTCCGTGACGAGCAGTCAAGATGTAATTCATCAAAGTTGTTTTACCGGCTCCGAGGTATCCTAGCTCACGACTATCAGTACTGCAACGTGTTTGAATTACATGATCACGTTGAGGCTGCGACTATAGCTCGATTCCACTCACCAGTGATAATCGTGATGGGCACGCGAGCTGACCTGCCGTCGAGACTAGCTGCATGGTCAGGTGAGGTTGCTTCTCCATTGGCATCGACCAGAAGCGGCGGCAAGTCGTCTTCGTCTTCCATCATGATTTTGCAGACTTCATTTGTAGATAGACTGTGATGTTTAATTCGACAACGCTCTGTATTCCGGTACAGGAACAGGTGAGAGAAAAGCGATATGATGTCATAGGGCCCGCATTCAATGGCACCTGGGTAAACAAGAGATATGGCGAGAGTCTGTCCCAAGTCGTTCAGCGTGCAGCAAAATTCCTACTGGCGTGGCCAAAGAACGACAGATTGCCGGTCACTGCGATAGACAGATCCTGTCGGGTACGACTCGACCACAAGGTCGCTGTGAGGGTATTCGGAGTGGTCTCCGCTGGTGCGCACGTGAGACTGGGAGCAGGCAGGGCATGTTCACGCGGCAAGCGTCTTCGTTTCCAATGCAAGACCCTGAAACTGATCTCCTCTTGCAAAGGAGCCCCACCAAATTGTTTGCCGTCGTAATCGGCACCAGTCTTCCACCTGCTGGACTTTGCCGCAGCATTCACACACATCTTCATAAAATCTGCCAATCTATTTACATAGAACAGTGAGATTTTTTTAGCCCTGCATCGTTCTCCTCGTGACCTCGGGAATTAGCTGTCGCAAACATGGTGCAAAAAGTATACATCACCTACAATCAGGTGAGTAAATACGCAGCCATCCACAGGATTCAGTGAACAGTCATTCGAAAAAAGGTCGTTCTCCGAGCTGATCATTCCAGATCCACAAACTCTGCCAAGATGCCGCTCCTCAAATTCTGGACAACTTCAAGCCGAATCTGATGATTGCCATTGGCGGCGGAGGTTATGTTCCAGCACGAATTCTGCGGTCATTCCTCCGACGGACCGGAAGCCCAAACATCCCAATTCAAGCCATTGGTCTCTCCTTGTACGAGGCACTAGGCACTGACGATCAAATCGAAGAGCCCGGACACAAAGTCACACGAACCCAATGGCTGGACCTCAGCAGTCTTGAGATGGCCAACCTGATTGGTAAGAACGTCCTCATCGTCGACGAAGTGGACGACACTCGGACGACTCTGGAGTACGCCGTCAAAGAACTGCAGAAGGACGTCGCAACGGCAGCGCAGCAGCTCGGCAAAGACCCCCAGAGCACGCAATTCTCCATTTTCGTATTGCACAACAAGGATAAAGAAAAGAAGGGACGCCTTCCAAATGATCTGATCGAGGCCAATCGATACCTGGCCGCCAGGACCGTGCCAGACGTGTGGATCAATTACCCTTGGGAAGCCACGTTCGTGTCTTGCTTTTGACCAGAGGAGATTTCGCATGCTGACTCGATTCAGGGACATTGACGAACACGACCGCATGGCCGCACAACAGACGATTGAGTAATGGTAAACGTAGCATCGGCATGTTTTTCGCGCTTAAACCCGCTCGTGTTGATAGCCGTTATCAAGTTAATTCTAGACTCACGCGTAGAGGAAAGGAGCCCTATGTCATAGCGTATTTTGTCGCCCCAAGTTTGACAGGTCTGCACAAGCACATCAAAAATCGCCTGTCGGGCGTGCTTGATTGATGGTCTTAAAACCCCGCCGGAAATGTCACCAGAATCACCGGATGGCAATATGTATTCGTGAATCGTCTTCACGGCACGTGAGCTTGAGCTACAACCAAGAGAAAATACTGTATGCAGCCATCGAAGTGACGGTTCAACTTGTAAGAATGGATTTGTCGGTACGCCAAGTGTGTTCTCAATTCAACATGGCGATTAACGCTGCATTCGTTATACACATTAAGTACATTAACATGGATCATCGATCGGAGGAGCATTTGTCGAGCATCAAGTGAAGTGATTCGTGAGGCTGCTCTGCCTCCAATTTTGTCGCGTGACCCATTTCTGCCGGATTTCTATCTCTTTCTGATCGAGATAATCAACGAAGAGACAGTTTCCGTCTACTTGTTGAAGCTCGAAAAGACGCAGCTGGTCCAATGCTTGTAAAGCTTCCAAGTGCTGCACCCTCGGTAATTCTTCCAGTCTCTCCTGTAGCTCTGTATCGGAATCAGCATCGGCATCGTCGGGTTGTGGTGGAAGTGTGGCAGGGCCGAAGATATCGTCGACAGCTTCGTGAGGCGGATTTAGAAAGTCCTCAACGCCGGTCAAAGCCCGCAAGCCTTGTTGCTCCTCTAAAGCAATAAGCGCTGCTCGGATGTGTCCCATCGGCAATGCTTGTAGATTAGCCATCGGTTGTCGTGGATATAGACCAGCTGCAGCCCAGCAGTGTTGGATTGTGGCGGGCGTGACAGCCTGCCAAGCTTGGATGGACCACCTGATAGCCTTGAGCAAATTGACTGTACGACTGGGATTCGAATTGCCCTTTTGTATCTCCGCCAGAGCAAAGTCTAGCCATCGCTGCCGGTAGCAGGTCTTGAATGTGTAAATGACACCATGCGTCAGCGGTTGAGATATAGTCGGCGATCGTGAAGGTATCCAGGCCACAGTGATGTTGGACGAACGCCTAGCGGTTCTGAAAGTGTCCAGCGCTGCTTTGTGCGCGCTAAAGTTGTCCATCAACAAAAGCACTTGACGATCACCCACTTGGTCAGCAAACCAGTGAAGCCATTCAACCATGACTGCCACTGTCATCCACGCTCGATCATTATACTTCCAAACACAATTGAGACTCGCGAAATGAATCCCTGCAGCCTCGAAACATCGTGGTCGTGCTTCATTGCCGATGAACCACGGTGCAAGCTTGTGACTGCCATCGGCGTTGCAGCAGAAGTGGGCTGTGAAACGCTCGCTTACCGATCCGACAGTAGTAGGAACCTCTTTACTCTGGCGGTCACCTGGGAGCCCCTTATAAAGTAGGCTGGTCTCATCGCAGGTGTAGCAGTTCGCAGGTAGAAAGCGGCTCACCTCGGCATCGATGGTAGAGGTTTGTTCCTCGGTGGCAGCCATGATCAGTTGCTCTTCTATGGCGGCAGTCACTGCTGTCGCACGATCAGGAAGGTCGCCAGTTTTCCGCTTCTTGATAATATCATGTCTTGTTCGAAAGCCTTGCAGCCAGCCATTGCTAAACATCGGCACTTCCATGCCTTGATAAGCTGGCAACTGATGCCAGAATGTAACGGCCTGGGTCTTCATGGCATCACCGGTGATCGGGCCCTCACCTCTACTGGCACGATCGCGTTCTTCTTGCTGAAACCATCCGAAAAGAGCGGCCTCCAAGTCAGGCCACTGGCTTGCACGCAGCCGTCTCTTGGATAATTGACCTTCGCCGCTGAATTTGTCCAGTATGGCATATTTCGGGCCCAAGATCTCGGAAATGGTGGATTGGGAGACATGTCGATGATAATTTAGGAAAAACCACTCCTCGAGCTGCTTCTGCGTCCTCTTTGGTGTTTGCTGAGCGTATGCACGAATGGCCTTTCGTTGGGCTAGGGTCAAGCCCGGCTGCCTGCGTTTTACCGTTTTGTCCACTGTTGACTCCATCTTTCCGTTACCTCGCTAACGTGAAGACGATATCGCATCAAGTCAGGTCCACCTTTGTCAACGCGGACGCATTGGGGATGCCCGAAGTATAGCCGAAATTATCGCTCTATCCGGCTCCGGCGCCCGCGCACGTAGCTCCGCTGTCGGCTGATGATAGCTCGCAAGACGGCTATTGGCGGGCATGACGAAAGACATGAAATCGTATCGAGTAATCGATAAGCTTGCCTATGGAGGCAGGTCATGCCGATGTCTAAGATGTTTAGTCTGCACATGCAGGTGCAAACTGAGATGAAAAACGGCGTCCATTGTAGTGGTTTGCCTGGAATATATATACCGTGGTCAAGAGAATGGTCATTGAGATTTCTTCGACCATTTTCACATCTATGCTGTATAGCATCCAAACATGGCAACTACTGTGACCCGTGTCCCTGTGGGTGACATTGATACTACATTCAAATCGAACAGCGTAGGTACGCTAAGGATTCTTCAAAACAACTTTGTAATTGTGTCAATTAATGATCAATTCTCTCTAGACCTCGTCAATAAGGCACTTGGGTCGCGAATTCTTTCCTTCTCCGACGAGTGGTTCGCCGCAGCCGAGAACCTCACCACGTCGACGCCGCCAGTACGTAAGCCAGGAGTCTTCACTTATGCAGGAGCTTGGTACGATGGGTGGGAGACACGGAGGCATAACCCGGAGCCTTTCGACTGGGTTGTCATTCGACTAGGTGTCGCGTCAGGCCGGGTCAAAGGCGTAGAGATTGACACGGCCTTCTTCAACGGAAATCACGCGCCCGAGGTCGGAGTCCAGGGTTGCTTTGTGACAGGGGATGATGGCGACGACAAGGTCAAGAGCAAAGACTTCCCCGACTGGGAGACAATCATGGAAAGGCAAGAATGCGGCCCTTCACAACGCCAAGCTTGGTTAATCACCGGTGGATCGGGCAAGGCATACACACATGTTCGGCTGCAGATGTTTCCTGATGGCGGAATTGCGAGATTTCGGCTTTATGGAGAGGTGATGCCAGTCTTGCCGGCAGATGTCAATGAAGTGTTCGATCTTGCTGCTACAGTTAATGGCGGCGTAGCTGTACAATGTTCAGATCAGCATTTTGGCACGAAGGATAACTTGCTCCTACCTGGCCGCGGTGTCGACATGGGCGATGGTTGGGAAACCGCCCGTTCACGTGGCGAACACATCGACTGGACCATCATCAAACTTGGAACTCCCGGTCTTCTCGAGAAAGTGGTTATAGATACAGCACACTTTCGCGGCAACTTCCCTCAACAGGTTCAAGTATTTGCCGCTCCAGCTGCGGAGCAAGCACCTGCACATGCAGACGCCGTCTGGTCGGAGATCCTGACCCCACAAAAGACCGGACCAGATGTGGAGCACGTATACGATGGTACAGTCCTGCGGCATACAGACAATGTTTATGGTTTTGTGAAGCTGGTTATCATACCAGATGGTGGCGTCAAGAGGATCCGAGTATTCGGCAGACAGTCCCCAAAGACTGTGTGATAGAATCAAGCTCAGTAGGATGCTCAATAGAAGGCTCGGTATCAAATATCTCGAGTGCAAAGCAGACTGATGTTCGTCGAATTGCTGCCAATCTCACCAGTCATATCGCATCGCTGTAGCCAATGCGTCGATTTCACTAACGACCGATGAACAAAGCACCAAAGCTCGTCGCTGAAGGCCGTATGTAGTACTGGTGGTTTGACTGCATCTAGTCATCAAGGTGAATTGATGCTAATGTTGGGCGAATGTCGTGTTGTGAAATAAGGCATGCATGTGGAATCATAATGATAGCTCGAGAGACAGTTGTCGGGAGACATGCAGAGCCGCTGCGGAGCATTCCCGATTAGGAACACTCGCGATCATAGCTCGCGGCGAGACCAAGACCATTGACCATCTCTGAACAAGTATTCATCAACAACATGGAGAAATCACTCCTCTTGGCGTCCTGCAGGATGCGGATTCTTCAGACGCAATGGTTGGTAGCGCAACCTGTGCGACTCTCAGTTTGCAGGCGATGTCAACTACATACTACCGCTGGCTACAGCGCCTTGCCCAACAACCTCCCAGCATTTGCAGGTCCCCCGCCAGAGGCACCTCAAGCTTCCGTCTCATATCCCCTGGGCCGTATTGCACGGAGGAAGCAGCAGGCTGAAAGCCTACGCCGGGGTCAGAATATCAAGGATGCCAAATCCGAAACCCTCTTATCACGACGTTTCTGGCGGGAAGTCTCGGTCAAGGAGAACGAAAAGGGCGATCTACAGGTCCTGCTGGATAAGCGACCGGTGCGCCTGGCCTCAAAGGAGCCATTGGCTTTACCGAAGACGAAGCGCGCGCTCGCCACCGCCATAGCTATCGAGTGGGACTCTCTCATCACATCGCAACAAGCACTCAAACACCACTACATTCCGCTCACCTCATTAACCTCAAGAGCCTTGGACATTCAGAGCGCAGATGAGCAAGGACACAGTATTATCCGTGAGCAGCTACAGCAAATGCTGATGCGCTACCTCGCCACGGATACGTTGCTCTGCTGGGCGCCAGAGACAAATCTTCACGATCCGCTGGAGACCCAGAAGGACGGCGGCTTTAGTCTTCGACAAAGTCAGAAGGCTGCCGCTGAACCAATCATCGCTTACCTTGCCACACATATCTTCCCCGGAGTGGAGATAATCCCTGTGCTTGGGGCTGACAGTATCGTGCCAGCGCGACAGCCGCAACTCACGCAGGATGTGATCCGCGGCTGGATTGCAGGTTTGCCAGCATTTGAATTGGCTGCATTGGAACGTGGTGTCCTGGCGACCAAGAGTTTGCTTGTTGCGGCGCGTGTCCTGGTAGCATATAGCACACATTGGCAGCAACTCAGACAGCAAGAACCGAAAAGCCATCGATTCGGTATTGAGGAGGCGGCAGAGGCAGCGACGCTCGAAGTCGCGCATCAAACGCAGCAATGGGGTGAGGTGGAGGATACCCACGACGTGGAAAAGGAGGATCTTCGAAAGCAACTAGGCAGTGCTATCTTGCTTGTGAGCTGAAGTCTTTTGACAAGTGTCCCGGGATCACACACACATATTTCACAGTGTGTGACTCGGGCGTTGCAGAATCACCTTTCTGGTAAGATTCGCCTCATGCATCCTCTAAATACCACCAATGGATGTTGCGTGACAAGCTCGTGCGGGCAACCATGTACATCAACAACAAGCACCATGAAAATTCCAGCGGTATGCTTCGCCAAACTCCAGGCAGTCTATCACACATTGCAGCAAGTTCGAAACGCAGAGAACCTTAAATGTTTTACTTGACAACCCGGTGCCAAAATTGGCAAGACAACGCGGGTATTGAATCAGACAGGCTTAACATCTAGAAATTGTCCCTCCAATATTGATACGATATTTTTACCATTTTCATCACAACGCGATTCATTATGTCATCATATTTCCGTGGTCCACGGGTCAGGCGGAAGTGCGATGGATACAGCTAATGTTCCTGTGCGAATCATTAGGTGAGGCGTAATTGTCGGGTTTCAAGTGTACTGATATAAATCCCATGACTTTTGCCAAGAATTCAGCTGTAATGGCTCAAGTGATGGAGTCCACCTCCCTCGCAATGCGTGCCTATCCAACCCGGCGGCGTGTGCCCAGTTCGAATTTGGTGGTGGCTGTCCACTCGCTTCGGCAACGAGCGATTGCTGGTGCAACCCTAAGCTTCTGAGGAAACCTTCAGCCGAGTAATCGGGCAGAGAACTTCAGGCCATGAAATGGCGGTATTGGAATACACACGCTGTCGGCGGCACCCAGGGTAAGATTTCTGGGGTGGATAACGTTTTTGTTTTGCCCATGGACTGAATTTCAATTTGTGGTAATGATGCTTTTAGAGCATCTCGGTCATGGTGCTTGTGTACATGTGGTGATACATTCGATCAATGGCTGCCGCCGCAAATCGAAACCAACCCATTTTTTGACATGTCCCAACTCTTTCATCATGAATAAAAGTTCACTTTGGCTGTGGAATGCCAATCGCCGCAGTGCGAATCTGCGGTAGAGCTTGAACTCGTATAGGTCCCGACAACCTCTCTTGGTGAGACCAGGTGCAAGGTGGTCGCATCTCTTCACGAAAGTTGCGCCACGGCGTGTGGTCGCCTCAACCGATGCAAAGGCGCAATGGCCGGCGGACCGTGCTGTGCATGTGCTCGTCGAAATGCCTCTGTGAGAATTGGCGAACTTTCTGTCCGAATCGTGGTACCGATAGACATGAAGAAGCTAGAAGGTTGCGATCAGAATGATATCAGGAGGCTTCTGTATCAATAACCATACCCAAACGTAGCGGCCGATCCAAGCATGTACTGGCCCAGTGTTCGCAGCATACCCCGAGGGCCAGGACCCTGCGTGATAATGCTATAAGATCCGAATATGAATCCAATGCAAAGACCGACGGCTGAGAAAGCATATTAGTCAAGCTGAATTAGTCGAGGATCATGTCGGATTCGCGTACTGCCGCCCATCATGGCTCCCATCTTGGCTGTTGCAAGTTAGCGAGAATGCATAATATCTTTTACCTATGTAAAAGCACACCTTTGTCGAATGGCGATGGACCGGCCATACCACCCGCAGCAGCAACCGGAGGCATGTTGAAGAGCTCGAATATCTTGGGACTTGATGCAATGCGGAGCAATGAAGCTTCAACAACTTGCGACGCGATGATGCGAACGATGAGGGCGAACTGTTCGTGAACTACCGCGGTCTCAATTCGGAATACCGTAGGAGGAACGTAGGATTTATTAACACGGGCAAGCAGCTTGCAACCCTAACTGTCGTGACGATCACAAGACGATTATAATTTCATGGGCAATGAACACTCCAAGCTTCCTGGCAGATGAGGTCGCACGAAGCAACCAGCTCCTAGAACGCAGAATTCGATCAAGATTATTCAGATAGCCCTGTGTTATAACGAACTTTTCATGTCACGTCCTGCCGTGCGGAGACCGATAATATGTTGTCGATACTGCGAAAAGCCCGTCTCAAAGACAAGGAAATGAGGATACTCATGCTGTGAGTAGGTTCCGACAATCCAGGCGACGTAGAGGCCTCGATTAGCTCATCCATGAACAAGCGGACTGGACAACGCTGGCAAGACTACAATTGTCAAACGGATTATGAATGAAGACGTAAACAGCGTCAGTCCGACACTGGGCTTCATCATCAAAACCATCGATTATGAAGGGTCAGTAAACATGTTTCGCTCCCAGGCATAAATCCTTTGATTTTGATGCTGAATTTCGCATCAAGTTATAAATTGAACATTTGTTCGTTCAGCTTAATCGCTTTTCCCCACATCGAGCCATGATTAATCAAGCACAGGGGACGTTGGTGGCCAGAAGACACTACGCACGTACTGGAAAAATTATTTTGAGAAGACAGATACCCTGATCTGGGTTGTAGACGCCACGGATCGTGATAGAATCGATGATTGCCGCGTCGAGCTCCAAGGTCTTCTCTTACAGGAGGTAGAAACATGCTCGGGATGCACAGTATTGAACAATATCTGACAGTCATCGCAGCGTTTGATGGGTGCTTCGTTGCTCGTCTTCAAGAACAAAAGCGATGTCTCTGGCTGCTTGGACGAGGATGAAATCCGAGAGGTAAGACATGTTGACGTCTATTACGACGAAGCGTAAAACTCACATTTCTGCTTCGCAGGGCTTGCAGCTTGATGCTATCACCACTCACAAGTGGCACATCCTTCCTTGCTCTGCTATAACAGGCGCGAACCTGCAAGAAGGTCTGCGTTGGGTGGTTCAAGATGCGAAGGACCGCTTATTCCTGTATTGATAGGGAAATCTGACAGTCCAAGCACCGAGTTTGCATAGCCTTGGCACAACTCTGTCAGTGCTATACGTTGGCGGCCAAACTGACAAGGAATTGCTCCTATTTCCAACGCATTCAATGGAGGACGTTGCAGCTCAAGGAAGTGAACATGGCCATGATCGCTGCCCTGAAAAGTGTTCACTCGCCCGGTCGGACCTGGCAAACTGCATAAAATATAGCTTTTGGTTCGGAGCTCCTCACCACGCAACCCATGTTAGCAGTCTAGGTGGTGTCGCGCTCGTATAGTTGAAAATCAAGTTCAATTCGTTCGTCGCCCACAGCGTGAGACTCGGGGCCATGTTCGACCGCTTCGCCGACGAATTTCTCGTGGACGGCATGGCTCGCTAGATTCCATCGACCAGTGGTTGGCTTAGCATCATTCAGAACGTCCGGAAAGAAAGTGTCACAATCATATTCCTTTGATATTCTCGTCAAGAGAATTCGATCTGTCTGTGGTAGTTGTAGCGCCGCCTGATAGATGCTGGTGCCGCCAATGATAAACGCCCGACCAAGCGGCGGCAAAAATCCCGCCTGGATGCGCGTACCGAGGTCATGTAGCGCTGATGGGATGCTGGCTGCTACCACGACATCATCCGGAATTGGTTGAAGTTGCTCGCGCGTCTGCGAGCTGATGACGACGTTGGTTCGGTCTTTCAGTGGACGAAACTTCTTGGGAATACTCTCCCATGTCTTGCGACCCATGATGACCACGTTGCGACGCGGGTCAGCTGAGCCATCTGGTGTAGTTGCTGGCACGCGCTTCGTGACGCTGGCAAAATATGCCATGTCCTTCTTGACCATAGGCCATGGCAATGTGCCATTCTTGCCGATGCCATTTTTGAGTGTGGCGGCCACGATTATCGTCAAAGACGTCTGCGACACAGACATGATTTCTGAATCTGCCATGGAGAACCAAAACAAAGACTCGTCTTCCGTCGCTGGTGTTCAACTGCAGAATGTGCGATCTGGTAGGGGGCTGTGTAGATGGAGCGTTTCAAGATGGTCGGCTGTGTCCATGGGCGGCCCCTCGGGGTTTCTCCGGTAGGCACAACTGGCTTGCTGTTCCCTCTGTTGTTATTGACCCATTGGGAATCATGTGGTCAATAACACCTCCACTTTTATAATTGTTGAGAACGAAACATGACAATCAGGATCTGGAGTTCTGGACGGCATTTGAAATCGTTATTGTCGTGGGCGAGCACAACGGTGGTTCGATAAAAATCACAACTTCTTCCACGAGATGGACCAATTCCTACTCTTCGGCGACAGCATCACGCAGCAAGCATTTACGCAAGATCGCGGAACAGTTTTTGGTGCTGCTCTGACTGATGCTTATATACGGAGACTTGACATAGTCAATCGCGGTTTGAGTGGCTATAATACAAGACAAGCGTTGCAAGTTCTTCCTCGAATAGTGCCACCACCAGCCCATGCGCGAGTTCGACTTATGACCATATTCTTTGGTGCGAATGATGCACGTTTACCAAACACTCCTGGAGGTCCTCAACAGCATATCCCGATAGAAGAGTTCACTCAAAATCTCATCGCCATTGTACAACACCCGGTCGTGCGCGCGCACACCGATATTGGACTAATACTTATCACACCGCCACCCGTGGACGAGCGAAAAGCGCTCGCTTGCGACAAGGCCAAAGACCCTCAGTGCGGTGATGTACATCGCCGACGTGCCCCAACCACTGCGGCCTATGCACAGGCTGTACGTGATGTTGGCCGCGAGACTGGCGTGCCCGTTATCGATCTTTGGACAGCAATGATTGCACGCGCAGGCGGCACGGCAGCCGACGAAGATGATCTGATTGTTGGCGATGCTGCTGCACCTGTGAGCGTCATTCTACAGAACCTCCTCGATGATGGATTGCATCTCAGCGCGGCAGGTTACCAGGTCCTCTATTCCGAGCTTACTGCCTTGATCGCAAAGCAATGGCCAGTACTCACCCCTGCGAACATGCGTTTTGCATTGCCGACTTGGAATGACAAGAGTGCATGGACATGAGGAGACTACTTCTCTGGAAGCTTTCAATACGTCAACACTGGCTTGTACGTAATAAGTGGCTGGCTATGAATCAGTATGTGTGCTGTGTCGGCAGCGCTTGCGATCGAGGCTTGGGAGCGCCGTAGATTATCGCCACGACATGATTGTCAAAGGTCAACTTGAGGACGCCGGCTTAATGTCTGTCGTTGGAGGCTCGGCACTCATTCACGAGGCTGAAAGGGGCCATCAATTGACTTGGAAAATTTGCCAATCAGGAGTCAGCAAGTATAACTTCGCCGCTGCTGTACTTGCGTTCAAGATGCCAGAAGGAGAAGTAGGGTAAAAACCAAGGTCGTATATTCAATGTACTTCACTATTGGATTTGCAAAGTTTAAACGCGTCGTACGCTTCACCACTATCTCACGCCTTTGACTTCTCAGCGACTGGGTCATTCTTGTTGAAGTTGATGCTGATGGAGTTCACGCAATGGCGCTCGTCTGTGGGGTTATTGTAACCCTCGCCCTTGAAGACATGTCCCAAGTGGCCACCGCAATTGCTGCAAACAATTTCGGTGCGCTCCATACCAAAAGTCCGGTCAGTGTGCCTCGTGATTGCGCCTGGCACAGCATCGAAGAAGGCAGGCCAACCGCAACCTGATTTGAATTTGTGATGTGCCTCGTACAACGGTGCAGAGCAACCAGCGCAGGCGTAAACACCTGCGTCCGGTTGGTGTGAGTTGTATTCACCAGTGAATGGTGCCTCGGTTCCTTTTTCACGCAAGACCCGGAATTGATCTGGTAGAACGTGTCAGATCGTGGGCATGAACCCAACCTTGATGGATGGGGTCGAATTTAGCGTACCTTTGCTCAGTTGCGCTCTCCACTCATCATCTGACTTTTGCAAAGGGAACGACATGTTCGATGTGGCGGAAGACGAAAAGAACGATGAGAGAAACGGAATCGGCATCGAAGCTCTAGAAATCGTTGCAGGTCTCCAGCTCAGTTGGGCGCGCGATGGTACGGGCAAACGGCTTGTATTGTTGAAAGCGAGTAGCGTGCGAACAAAAATGGGCAGCGATCGAAGGCGCATGGACAGACAGCAGAGGTGGAATCTGTACTTGTATTGGCTGTGTATCTGGCTCCGGTGTGAGTATCATCAAGCGAAATGATTATAAGCTTCTGTGATTTTCTCAGCATGTCCAGACGCGAGTGGTCGTATGTAGTATTGCTTCCGCCACTTCTCCAACTGAACGACGTCATGAATTGCGTGGTAAGGAATCGAAGATCGGAGGTGATGTCCCTGCCGCGCCCTAACTGAGTAGAATACAGTACACCGGCTGATCTCTGCACAGGACAATCTCTCGAATCCATTGCCTACGAGCATTGATCTTGACCACCTCACAACTTTGGTTTTGTCGCCGCCAATCATCTCAATTATGCCTGCTTCATCTCCAATATTGCCGTTGAAAGCTGCTATGAGCCCCCGCGCTTTTCAACTTAAGACTCGTCCGAAGGCATTGCCATGTCCGTCGACATCACGAGGTGCCAACATACAATTATCGAGATCTATCACAAATGGTGGCGCTGGCGCCGCTGCTGATGGGACCCATTCAAATGCAACACAGACTCGACGAAGCCTCTCGGCTGCTCAACGCAAATATCTCGACTCAGCGTTGCGGGTGAATCAGGCGGGCGAGCTAGCCGCCACCCTGATTTATACCGCTCAGATCCCTCCAATTGTCAAAACGCATCCTCACCTTCGACCCCTCATGAAGCATATGTACGATCAAGAGGCCGGTCATTTCAGCACTTTCAATGAACTCCTTGCTAAACATCGCATTCGCCCCACGGCCATGTACCCTGTATGGCACGCCGCTGCCACAGTGCTTGGATGGGGCACTGGTATGCTTGGTCGTGAGGCTGCTATGGCATGTACAGAAGCAGTCGAAACAGAGATTGGCGACCACTACAATGCTCAGGTTCGAGAGCTGCTATCATGGTGCAAGGACATGGAGGAACGTGGCGAAGACATCGGAGACGAGTTGCGAACTCTGGTAGAGCGCATCCGCAAGATACGAGACGAAGAGCTGGAGCACTTAGATCATGCCGTGGCCAATGATGCTAAGGATGCAAATCCATACGAGCTGCTTACGGGAGCCATCCGTGCTGGTTGTCGTGGTGCGATTTGGGTCAGCGAACGGGTTTGATGACCACTCGTTATGAAGGGAGGGGCTTGTCCATCGAAAACACTTTTACGGAGATTCTTCCGTACAAGCAATTGTAATCGCCTATATGAGTTTCGTTTGTACATTTGGGCATCGGCATCTGCAGATTGTGTTATAGATATTGCCCTCAGCCACTACCTAGATATAGACCGGAGGCACATCCGGATTGTGAAACATCAGGTGAGAATACAGCTGCTTGATGGCGTACGTTGGGTCTCACCCTTTTTTCGTGTGGCGCTCTTTCCTCGCCGGCAGATTTGACCGTCGATCGTCTCTTGGTGCAGATCTTGTTGAAGAATTCCTGAAGCAATATAGTAACAACCTTGTAAGGTCCAAGAATCATCCATACCAGGGTGGCCGGATTCGGTATAGCGGCACGAATTTACCGCGATCTGTCGCGTCACCTTCACGTGTGTGAGGATGCTCTTTTCATTGCTGAAAGTCACAGCGCTGGAGTGTACCTGCATGAACAAATACTATCACAATCGTGGCCCATCTTCAATTCGACCTGTTATCAGACCGCACCTGCAATATCCATACTTCCTACACCGTCTGTCAAAATGGCGACCGTTCCGCCGACGCAGCATCAATCCTCACATCCTCCACCACAAATCCTAGCATTCAACGAGAGACAGCCCCGGACTATCCGCCTATACCCATTGAGCAATTACACATTTGGCACAAAGGAGACACAGCCAGAGGAAGATCCTTCAGTAAAAGATAGGCTGCGGCGATTGGAGGAATATTATGAAAAGCATGGCATGCGCCGGACGTGTGAAGGTATCTTAGTATGCCATGAGCACAACCACCCGCATGTGCTCATGTTGCAGATCGCCAATGCCTTCTTCAAGCTGTAGGTGATGATTCAAAATCGCATGGATTTTCTAGCGGACTAACGTATAATCAGTCCTGGTGACTACCTGGCGCATGATGCCGACGAGATTGAAGGTTTCAAGGCCAGACTGAACGAACGCCTCGCTCCCACTGGATCACTTGGCGCCTCCGAAGCTGCAGATGCGGACTGGGACATCGCTGACACCCTCGCGCAATGGTATCGGCCCAATTTCGAGACTTTCATGTACCCTTTCCTGCCACCACATGTGACGCGACCTAAAGAGTGCAAAAAGCTCTTCTTTATTCAGCTGCCCAAAGCCAAAGTGCTGAGTGTGCCGAAGAACATGAAATTACTGGCTGTGCCTCTATTTGAGCTCTACGACAACAGTCAGCGTTATGGACCGCAGCTGAGCGCCATCCCTCATTATCTGAGCCGATACAGGTGGGAGTTTGTCAACGAGAACGATGAGGTTGTCTCTTGGACCCCTGGCGGTCCTGTGGATGAACGAGTGAAGACTAAGATATTAGCGGGTGATCAAGGGAACGGTGTCACCGAGGGACACAACGTTAACATGGCGGAGAATTAGAAAGCAATACATTCTCCTGTGGAGTGTTTCGCGCAAACCCTGCGGCTTAAGCTTACAGCGGTCCGATACATTTATGCACCGAGAGCGTACAGCTCTGACAACATGAAGACCAGCATCACACCAAATCGGGGGCCACATTGAATGCTGAGGCTCAGAACATGATTCCGATCACTTTCAAGAGTCACCATTCTGTCGATCTCCTGGGCACATCAGAGCCATCGTGCAGGAATGCGAAACAGCTGACCGCTGCTGATCCAAACATTGAGGCTCCGCAGAGGCCGACACGATGATTCGGAGATTGCACCAGTCTTGCATTTGCCGCCCTTGCCTCGCGCAGCTCACAAAAGGCAATTGCAGGCGGTCACTGATTGTATGCCTCGAGTTTTTGATGGTGGGCATTCCGGGAGACGTGTCATGAACTTCGGGTCTAGACTTGCCATATCCTGATGACTGATCACATGATGGCCTTCCTGATGAGTAATTGATCTCCCTTTTGGACCATTTCACCGGATTTGGGCTGCCTCCAGAGTAGGCAAGCTGACTTCTCCGGTGACAAATCAGCATGCTGCTGGCTAGCACTTGCCCTGCCAACCTCGGCTCGTCGGTGGATCGGCATTTATGGCGTGGGTAACCCACTCGTGTGGCTACATGCTGGGCGTTGAGATATAACACAAGCAGCGCGCACGCAAGATGATATGCCCATTTTTCAGTGGGTCGAGTATGCTGAAAGGCTCACGACATGTTTCTATGATCCTTGTTGGAGTACCATATCCAAGGCATCTGCTAAACTTTGTAACGGCACAACTCCTTTCTCTTGGTCGCAATGCTGATCAGCCGCAATCTGATACGCCTCTTTCATATCTTGTGTTGTGACGCGCACTACCCAGCCCTTGCTCGTCAGAATAGTCGTAGCTCCGTCGTCCGTGAATGCGGGTTTGCCTAGCACGCCGGCGAGCTTCAACAACTTTTCCACAAACTCTATATCCAGGTCGAAGCCTTCCCTTTCCATGATTTCAATCACCGACCACAAATTGCACATGCCTCTCTCTGCAAGCTCTCGCCGCACAATCGTTACCGGCTCCGATCGTCTACGCGCCTCGTACTCCCGTTCGCGCACCTCAGCGTCACGTCGTGCTTCGCGCTCGCGTGCTTTGCGCAATTCAATCTCAGCCTCGGCTGCTGCCCGTTTGAGCTGGTCCAACTTGAGTGCAGCTTCGCGTTCTGCAGCGGTCGATGCATCCTGGGCTCGCTGAGCATCGCCCTGACTTCGTAAGAATTCTTGATAAGCACGGCGTTGGTCCTTGCGCGCGAGGGATTTCGCTTTCTTTGCACCAACGGCACGCTGTGCTGGTGTGGGTCTATCAGCAGCATTGGCTGGTCCTTCGCCAGGGTCGAAATTGTCTACCTGTCGACCAGCAGCGCCCGCTTGAAAGGCATTTGCTGCCGGCTGCTCGCCGTCCCGCAGAAACTCGCGTTCATGTTCGATCTCAGAATTGTCGTCGCTGTTGCCATCCTCGTCTTCGGCTGCTTCTTGCTCCACGTGCTCGATCTCATCTTCGAGGTTTGCATCTCGATCAAGTAGTGTCTCTTGGTCGCCTTGGTGGTGAAGCGAGGTATCTGAAAGAAATTCCTCGCGCTCCCGCACGTGATTTTGATACCGCTCGATCAGTAATACCAATGCGCATGCTCCAATGGCGGCGCAGTAGAGCAGATTTTGGATGAGTGGAGTATCCGGTGTTGCAAAAGGTATCAGCTTTTTGATGATATGAATAAGATCGGCCATGGTGCACGGCAATTGAGCTCGATGCTCAAGATGATCACCTCAGCACGTGGAGAATGGATGAAAAGTATATCATTGATTCCAAACCTTGGAACCTCCCATTGTAAGGGTTGGTCAAGGCATACTTGAGAGGAATGAAGTCCGTTTATCAGAGCAAGAATAAACGAGCCCATGCGCTGTCACGACTGCGTCTTGAGGTGTGATACTAAAATCTGAAATTTGGTGTCCGCGACGTCAGAATTGCACCAGTGAGATCACACACGTCGTGGCTTGTGCAGGGCTTCGGCGGCTTATTTCAAAGTGTAATCTGACTTCCCCAAACGGGAGACTTGAAGGACAACTATAGGTACTTCCAAGGGTCCCGAGGTCGCTTTCTTGTTTTATTTTATTTGATGATTGTCCAGGTGCGGTACAGTGCACACCCACGTATGTATATGATAGTAAGCCGGGTATACAGCGGAGGTGGACCCAGAAGGAATTGTTTAATTTTGTTGCTCGTCTCTAGTTCTTTTGTTCCCATGCCGGTAAGAGCAAAGCATTCGTGAAGGCAGCTCTGCGCTCTCTCGGGGAAAGGTAACATAAATCATTTTCGATTCTCTCGCTCCGTCTGCTGACGATTCGTAAGTTCTCACTGCATCGGCACGGTGAATAGATGGATATGCGTGCACAGGTGGCGATTGCACCGCCATAGCGTACAGGAAGGAGCACAGCCCCAGGGTTGTCGCAATATAATCGCTGCACCCATGACTTTTGAGAATGTGGCTTCACGGCACACAACCTCATCAACAACATGCGTAACATTGAGGTAACATTTTTACGCTAGGTGCGACGTTCAACGAGCAAACCGGTCGCACAATCTATTAACAGTCCATGTAGACTCGTCCTGACCATGATTTCGGCGCACCTGCTGCAAGTCGACTTCTGTCAACGCGAGCATCGCCAACAGCATCATGGCTGACGATCATCCGTGTCCTGTATGCCGGTTTCGCGGCACTTCCTATGACGTTCAGCTTCACTTTGAAGAGATTCACGTCGTGGACTCACCATTCGTTGCACGCGAAGACCGGCCCCGCTCAACTCCACTGCCAAGTAACTCCAGCAGTCGTTCTTCCAACACTCGCAGCATTCCTCCAGAGGAACTTTTCGCTGTCTGCAATCGACCAGGCTGTGGACAGGAATTTCTTCTGTCCGAGATCGAAGAGCATCTCTATTTCCATACTGCCCTCGATCTGGCGGAGGAGGAAGCATCGAATGCCCCACCTCTACCTCCACGCCCGATTTCGCGCCCGGTCAGTCCCACAAGCCAAGCTTCATTCCAGTTCGAATCTACAAGAGATCGCGCATCACCTCGCGGCAGACATGCCTCACGGTCGTCCTCGGGATCCGAGGAGCATTTGCGCCAATATCAGGCTGGACGACCTGGCCGTGTAGTGCCACCAAACAGATATCTGAGACCTCCCCGAGTTCACAGTCGCTTAGGATCCAAAGAAGTTGGGCCGTACTTTAGCGAAGAGTCGATGCCTACGGAGGTTCAAGATGCCCTTGTGAATGGCGGTCTGCCCCGTCGGATTGAATTCCGAGGTCGTGATGGCCGCCTTCGCCGTGAGACCATCTATCGGAACCAAACAGACGGCATAATCTTTGTCCTTGGCGACGTGTGTGCCATGGACAGGACCACGACAAAAACATACTTGTGTCACCACGCCGTTCGTCATGTGTATAAAATTCAGTGCGCTGGACAATTCTGCGGGTACTGGGCGATCCAGACGGTGCTGACCTGCCTTCAATACATGGACCCTGCGGGACCTCAATGGATTCCCAACGTGCTTCAAATACAAAGGGCGATCGAAGCTGCATGGGATCAAGACATATGTATCGGAGGCCGCATTGAGCTGGGCAACATCTGCGGTACGCGCAAATGGATTGGCTCTAATGAATCATTCGCATTCTTCCAATACACTGGATGGAATCCAACATACTGGGCTTTTCAAAGCGACCCGGGACCTGGTGGAGAGACGGCGGCCAAGAAACTGCTAGACTATGTCGAGGCTTATTTCATCAGTGGGGAGGACGAGGCATACAGGAATCGCACATCGTTAGAAACAAAGCTGCCTCCCATCTATCTACAACGCCCAGGGCACGCACTGGTCATTGTCGGGCTGGAGAAGAAGAGCAACGGCACACGCAATCTGCTTGTATTTGACTCTTCATACGAGGCATCAACGAATATGCAGCACCTCGCAGCCGGCCGACCCATTCATGCTTCGATCCGGAAATTATTGGGGGTCTACCGGCGTCCAGAAGAGCGTCTGAACGACGAGCCCAGCTTTGAGGTTATTGTGTAGGTCTTCCTTTCGTCCTGTGCGTTGTATGATCACAATCAGCTAATCGAATCACATAGGCCTTGGCCGGCAGACGATCTTCCCAAGGATTAGGAGAGTCATCCGGCAATGACCAACGACTGTCAAACACCACTTGTTATGCTATCAGCAATTGAAGCGAACGGATTCAAACAAGCGTGTGGCCGGATCGCATCCGTGCATGAGAGTCATTTTGCATTCGAAGCAGAAGTGTGAGAGCCAAGTAATATACACCCGTCAAGTAAAGCGCCATTCTTATTTGTACAGGTGTATCCCGTGATATTTCCCATAACTCCGCCTTGTGTTGCACAGTTGCGCTTATTTCTCACGCATTATTATACATTCATAGCCCGCTCCGCCCTCCGGATGAATTCTTCATACACAGTCCACGTGAGCGCACTACTAATAGCTTTCCGCCCGATTCTGAGACTCAACCCGTAGAACATGCTCTGGATGCCTTCGTGCTTCAGCATCATCTGGGCTGCCTGGAACATATTTCGATACTTTCCAGGAGCGAGTTGTAAACGTGTCTTGATTGCATCAAAAGGATTGGTCAGTGTCGTTGCAGACATAGCAGCGACAAGACCAGAGACAAAATTGATCGTAGCAGAGCTCGTCATTGTTGGAGGGATCTTTTCCGCAAGGCTCTCGCTCCCACTCGAGGCGGCTGCAGCTGCTGCCGCTGCCGCCGCGGCCGAGGACGCAGTGCCTAGGTAGGTTTTGGACTGCTCGTAGATGAGGACATAGAGTCCGGCATACGGAGCGTCGCGAACTGCTGTGGCACCGAATCCAGCAAAGAAACCGCGTGCTCCCTCTTTGGCGAAGACATCGCGCGCGGCACCCATGAGAGAGGTGTAAGAATATTGCGTCGACTCATAGCGAACTTTGAGCACAGTGATGGGGTTCAATACGAAGCCTGCTGCAACTCGAGCGAGTGCTCCGGTCGAAAGATTGGCCAAGTTGCCCAATTTGGGAAGAGCTGATGAGGATGAAGCGACAGAGGTTCCGGAAGCATTTGCTGCTGCGGTGGCGAGAGATTGTCTCATCTTGTTGAGCAAACCGAAATATAATGCCGAGCCGAGACCAGTCCGTATGGTAGACGGTAACGTTCCTCGCCAGAGCTGGCGGATTGGACTTGGGCCATCGAGAATCCCCCTCAAAGCTTGCCGAAGAGAAGTCGATTGGTTTTGCTGCACTCGGGTCTTGAGTAGATCGGCGGGTTGCAAGAGAAAGGCACTGGCGACTCCAGATCCTAGGCCGGCGACGAAATGGAAACCTTGTGGAGAGTCAGATCAATTGGTGGCCCTGAACGTGCTAGCGATTCATGGAACAAAGTACACACCAGAAGAGGTCTTCTTCTTTTGGAGCACTCCATCTTTAGACATTGCGATAATGGTCATGGAACGCCCTGCATGTTGAGTGAATGTCGTGAAGAATTGCTGATACAGATGCAATGAGGATTCCCCTGGAAATCTGTGGGCGATTATTGATACATGATGGATCGTGGGATCTGTGTCGACGTATTGCAGCAGCTGAAGATGAATTCCAATGTCACTGTCGGCGATCCAACAGAAAGCCGCGTGCACAGACTCGTGAGGTCATGGATACCGTTCGGAGAAAGATTGGGAGCGCTCCAGGATAACTTATCTGATTAACAAGATCTCATGCCTGAGGCCATCAATCAGTGGGGAACCTTCATTGTGCTTCTACAATGACGTGTGCAGCTCGGACGACTCGATCGCCATGAGGATGGACCGAATCAATCACGTTGAGTCTACGGTCTTGACAGAGCGCGCATCTCAAAATCGAAGCATTGGAATGGCGCAATGCGACGTTCAATGAAAGTCAATTGTTTTGCGCATGCAATCTAAGCCTGCTTCAGAAATTACCAACTACCACATTCCGAGGTCGCATACAGAAGCTTCTCGAACATCCTACGCTATTGATCACCCGCGCGCTACCGCTTGCGCCTGCATACTTATCCACGGACGGTCTCTGTCGTGATTGCAGGTTGTCGGTACTGACGCCGACATCATTACTATCCAAACTTCAAGTACGACCAGCCCAACTTGAAAATCACCAATACGCCTGCGACACACACGCAGTCCAGAATTGAGGGTAGAGCCTACGACCAAGTGGAGCTGCGCCCAGCTCACGTGCTCATTGGATCTGAAGCACTTTCACCACATCAAAGATGGTTGCCGACACAAGGCTCTACGATCGTCTCGGCGTGTCGTCAACTGCCACAAACGACGAAATCAAAAAGGCATACCGGAAGAATGCACTTAAAAATCACCCCGACAAGAATCCCGCAGGCGCGGAGAAATTCAAAGAAGCCTCGGAAGCATACGAAATCCTGTCAGATGCAGACAAGAGGAGAAATTATGACAATTACGGCTACGACTTCGTGATGGGGAAAGCTGGGCCGCCGCCCGACTCCTCTGGTGGTGGGAATCCTTTTGGAGGAGGCATGCCAGGTGGGATGGGAGGCATGCCAGAAGGAATGGGCGGTATGCCTGGAGGATTTGGTGGGATGCCGGGCGGTGCTAGTTTCCGATTCAGCACTGGTGGAGGAGGCAGAGGAGGTATGCCGCGCGCTGCTGAAGATATCTTTTCACATTTCATGCAGGATGGTGGTATGGACGGCGAGGATGACTTTTTTGCCTCGCTGGGAGGGAGGGGTGGTTTCGGCGGGGCATTTGGCGGTCGATCCAGCCGTAAGCGTGAGCCCCAATTGGAGACCACAGTGGTTGAGAAACCATTAGTCGTCACACTCGAGGACATTTTCAATGGAGTCTCCAAAAAGCTCAAAGTTGCGCGCAAGACATATGATCCTCAAACAGGAGTGCAACGACTCGAGGATAAGATTCTCAGCGTACCGATCAAACGCGGCCTAAAGGCAGGAAGCAAGATCAAGTATCCTGACATGGGCGATCAGGTCGAGGGAGGCGTGCAGGATCTTCATTTCATCGTCAAGGAGAAGCCTCATGTTCTCTTTGAGCGTGACGGCGACGACATTATTCACAATGTGGAGATCTCCCTCAAGGAAGCGCTCACAGGCTGGAGACGGACGGTGCAAACGATTGACGGAAAACAAGTTTCGGTCGAGAACACAGGACCAACACAGCCCGATTGGACCGAAAAATTCCCCGATCTCGGTATGCCGAAGAGCAAGTCGCCCAATATCCGCGGAAATTTCATCGTCGGAGTGAAAATCAAATACCCAACAAGTCTGACTGCGCAGCAAAAGCAACAACTGAAAGAAATTCTATAAGATTCTGGGAATTTTGGGTTTGGAATACGGTGTAGACGGCGCGGAGGATTTGAGGGTATTTCGTTTCACATGCAGGATCGATGCCTTGTCGGGCTTTATGGGCGCAAGGCGAAGAGTGATTTAGCGTTTCTTTACTACCGCATGAGAGGCACGTCAGGAAAAGTCTCCGGGTAACGTCCAAAACGAGCTATTGATTTATGAATACGAAAACGAAAACAATTCACATGGTTGACCTCCTTTTGTGGTGACGATTAACGAATGTCAAAGATTGTATCCCTGAAATCACGGTTTTCTCCATGTGCCATTTACTCACAATCGCGACCATGCGGAAACGGAAATTTACCTCTAACATCTCACTCTGTCGATCTTACGGCCCTCGCCTCGTGCCTCACCTTTTCACCACGTGATATTGATACGTGTCTGCTAGAAGAGGCTCCAAAGATGCCATGGTCGAGATTTAGCGCCTTGCGGTGATCAGTTCGTGATTCGTTTTGAAAAGTTCGTACGATCTAAATTTAAGCTGCTTTGGAATGGTATTGGGAGAATCTTTGCAATTCGTTCAGAGGTACCGTTCGGTGAATCTCCACCGACGGTGCATCGGCGAAGATAATAGCTCGCGGCTTTGCGATCTGCAGGCGGAAGCTTGCTCCGGGTAGATTTTCGTCGAGAAGTTGACGCCGCAATTCGCTGTATGCAAACTCGATCAAGCTTTCGAGCGTTTCGAACGAGGTCTTCTCTATAATCTGCTCCCTCTCGTCAGCAAATCGGCATGTCGAGTGCGCAAGGACAGCAACCCCTTTGAGCAACATCCTCCGAGGACTTACCTCGAACAAATAACTTTCGATCGAAAATGCGGCGAGCAACCTAGCAGTTCGATTCCCTGGCACTCCCACAACGCCAACGCCGGTGTCCTCGCCTCCGATGATGCCGGTGCCTTCATAATCAACATCATATTCGACAATCAGTGGCTGTTTTCCTGTTCGTTCATTCGCATTGACACCGATCAAACATGCCATCGGCAAGCCCGCCACAAGTAGACGCCCTGATTTCACTGCCAGGGACCCTTTCATGGGCCCTTGATCGAGCCTCTCGAGTCTTTGCGCAACTTGCACCTTGGATCCAAACATACTTCCCTTTGGCAGATGAATATCGAGCATCGCTTCTTCGACTGCCGGAAGATCAGCGACGATCAATGCCAGCATTACGAACACTTCATGTAGCGTTTGACCTTCGTGATTCTTGGTACGTATTGCCTTTGATAATTCACCGTAATGTACCGTATGTTCAGGGTTCACAGTGTCATCTCGCGCTGCATTGACGAAACTCTCTGGCCTGAGGAGGAGGCGAAGTGATACTGTAGCAGATTGTGATTTGACGGTCGGTGGTACTTTGCTCGCCAAGGTCGAGCGTGTAAACGACCAGGCATCCGGGCCGGCGATGGGATGTGGCAGAACAAGGTTCTCGATTGTAATAACGTCCCGCTGTGATGGTGCCATGACTGCAGATATTAGTGACGACAGATGATCGTCTTGGAAAGGTCCACGACGTAGGCAGGATAAGACGCGGTCTTGGTAGTATAAATTCTGTATACCAGAACGGAATCAGGTAATTACTGTTGTCGAATCAAAGTATCGAGCTCTCTCCGCTTGCGAAGATGAAAGGTTGACGAGACAGGGAGGATGAGGTCACTGTGGATGGAGATGCTATCGTCGAAGCTTCGTCATGGATTTTCTTAAGATCGTGCAAAGAAGGACCTGGCCAGATTCCAGGAGTCACCCACGGAGAGTATTTTCTGCACCGCACAGTTGAAAGGGACGAACAGAGGCTAGAGTCAACATCAAAGCTAACTTCTAAGGTTTGAAAGGAGATAATTGAAGCTTTCCACTCTGCTCATGGTGCCCCATCAGTATGCTCGCAATCCAAGGGTTGCCTCGACCCCAAACTCATAAACACCTGGGCACCCTCATTGCGTCAACAGTTCCCCCCCTCTCTCCCTTAATTCACATAAACTTTACATCGAGAGTGTCACAAAGATAAACTGTCGGAGAGCGATGTTCCAATAGTAACACCACAGATACACACAGTGCCGACTAGATGAGTACCTAAGGACTGTCGAAGCGATGACTAAGCTGTGAGCGTCATTTCTGATGAGTAATGAACGATCTCTCGGACCGAGCAAATATTCGCTCGCGACTCAAGTTCAGCTACGCGATTTTGCAGGATTACAGGAGTGTAGAACACTTACGATCGCGACTCACATTACGAGCCTGCGTGGCGTCACGAGGGTTGGACAGCTCAGGTGGAGGAAGTCGAGCGACTGATTAACACGTCGAGGAAAGAGCTAGAGATATGTACCCACGTGAACCGCTCTTGCCATCCAACAAGCCGAGCGGTGAGGTGGAATTGAGATTGGGTCTGCCCCTGGGAGCCTTCCGATCGACGCTAGTGACGCCACATGGTCGCTAGCGGCATCCTCTAAGCCCATCAAAGCTGAGTGGCGCAGCGGAAGCGCGCCGGGCTCATAACCCGGAGGTCAACGGATCGAAACCGTTCTCAGCTATGTTTTTGTCACTCCTGCGGTCCATTTTGATCGATCCTAAAGCGAATATATGGCTTTGGTGGTTTCTTTTTCGCGGATTCCCGAGACGTTTGGACATAGGGTTGTGCGAGAATCCGAGCACGGGAGGGCCCGCAAAGCCCCGATGTCTGGGAAAGGTAGGGCTTCGGGATTTGCCCGGCCACACCGGTGGGCTAAACTGCGGCCCGCTTTGTGACTAAGCGACGGGCCGACCGTCACGACTGTCTGCCATGATGACTGATTTCTGGCTGAGCCCTCCTTCAGCTTCTGCTTATTTGGAACGCCGCTGATTGGTCAGAATCATTGGCCGTGGTGAGATGCTTTCAGTACCTACGGCGACGATGAGCCCGTGATGGCCGACATACAAGTAGATGAGCCAGCCTTGATATCTGACCTGTACGTCTCTGCTTCTTGAGGAGATAATTCTTGTCCAAAGCATCATTGCGAAAGACGTCAATTCACTCACTATACACGTCTGATCATAATTTAGTTGATCAGTACATTCTGCCTACGCAACATATACAACACTCCCTCCACGCATTTACATTTCAAAACATCCTACAACGATCTCGAAACTCTGAACAGGCGACTTCTCATCAAATCGTTTTACAGATCCTCGACACATCCAGTAAAGACTTGAACCTCTATCACAGTATCATTTCGCCATGCCATCGCCAACTGTCCCTCTTTTCCTTCAAGCTCTTCGCCACACAGCACAACGCGCCAATGGAATGCGTGGCACCGGTGATCGGGTTGGTAGCGCTGCAGCAGTGGGATATTGTGCCGCAGTGATCAGCGCACCATTCGCTGGCGCATACCTGGTCGGGCAGGCCGTGGACGGAGACCGACGATATGCAACCAAGTACGTGATTCAAATGGAAGGGCGATATGATGGTGTCTGCGTTTGAGTTGACATGGACGCTAACTTGATCGTGGCGGCAGAACATTGAGCTTCCGTGACTGCCTGCCAGGTTCATCGCTTGAAGACTACTCAGGGGCGTTGCTGATGCGCATGCGCAATCCATGAAAGGTGACGATCGTGGGATCAGTTGTGTTTAATCTCGCGCAGCGTACCGGAGACCGGTCCTCATCAGGGTATCATTCATGGAATCCCCCAGCCGAGAAAAGCATGCCGGGTGAAAGAGGCGCAATGAGGATGAATGGCAGTCGAGTTTTGAAAATGGCTGGGTCATTCGAACGGCGTTATTGTAGGAATTAACCAGGAGTTCTCGGGCCGTTGTAGCAAGTGTTGTACAATATGAAATCCACCAAGTGGCAATATGGATCTCGGTTTCTCTGATAACAGTCGGCATCTCATGCATTTTGTTGCCGTGAATTGACATCAACTGAACCGATCACCTTTTCGTGATCGAAATGGTGCGTTTGCCTCGTATCGACTTTCTCCGATGCCACTCTCATTCTTTGTATCTGAAGCAGATGCTCCACTATCTCCTCCGCTTGATGTTGCAATTGTTGAAGAACGGTCGCCTTTTGCACCTGAAGCTTGGCCACTCGAGCTTGTACTGGCCATGGAAATATCTCGGGAGACAGCCTCGTGTGCGCGCATTCGGTATTGCGCCTGTCGTCGTCGTTCTTCTGCAGCTGCACGCTCTTCTCGATCGGCATTGATGCTACGCTTTGCAAAGTAGTACGATCCGGCGCCGGCAACGATGAGGACACCCCATCCGTATCCAACCGAACGAATCTGAATGTACGAATATTAAGACCACAGTCCAAGATCGAAGGCAATCAGACGTACCGTATTCATTGTGATGTCGGTACACCTATGTTTGGAATTGGCGCGCAGAATTCAGGGACGTCTTTTCTTCTGGATGAAATTGGTTGCTATGTTGATGCAGTGATGATTTCCGACCTCGGGAAGTTGAACTTATTATTACAGTGCTGCATAACTTATTCAGGGTCGTTTGGTGACGCGCACAAGCCTTCCTGCATGTGAAGCCCGGGCAAGCCTTGTCTTGCCTGAGCCCACGCGCATATAACATCACGATGCATAGAATAAATCAGCATCGTATAAGAACACCTTCCATATTCGAGCAACATGCAATTCACTAATGCGCGTTCAACAATCAGTATACTTGACGACTCCCGATTGATAATTACATTATCCGAAAATGGAGACCCCGGAGACCTTCCGCCAGTATGATCTCAAGTTTGACATCGCAACAGATACGCTCAGCTGCTCCGACCCGAGCGTCGCAGAAGACCTCGAGGATCTCAATCGTGTTCACCGTGGATTTCTTGCACTAGAAAACCAGGCAGGAGTTCCTCCACCTCCGGCACCTGTCAACCCCAAGAGAACCGTGCAAATCACGCGTCTCAAGGAAGCTGGAAACGCGGAGTTCAAGAAGGGAAAGATTGCGGAGTCTCTGAAAATCTACGATCTTGCCATTCGCATGGCTGGTGACCGACCTCCGTGGGAGCCAGCTGGCCTCGTGCGGGAGGAATTATACACTTTACTCAACAACCGCGCAGCAGCGTTGATGGCACAACAGGAGTGGCCTGCGGCGGCAGGAGATGCAGAGGCTTCGGTGGAGCTCAAACGGTTAGGAAACATCAAAGGCTGGTGGAGGCGAGGGCAGTGTCTCCGTGAGATGGGTCGCTTGGAGGAGGCCGAGGAGTGGGTACGATCGGGGCTGGAATTTGAACGTGCAGGTCCTGATCGGGCTGCAATTGGGGAACTGGAGACTCTGGCGAGGGACATAGCCAAGGCATTGGGCAAGTCATAAGTGCAGGCCGTTCTCCATGCAGACGTCACGCGAGAGGACTCCAGATTGGGGGTTTGCTGCTGCAATGAATGACCGGAAGAAATTACGACGTTACGATCTCAATTCCACCGTTGACAAATAATGACGAATCTGACTCACGGAAACATGTGCATTGCATGATCTACCATGCACCGAGTCCTAAGTGATCGCATCCGCGCACAGCGATCATATCTCGAGGGGCGGTCCCAAGCTCGGTCGCACGTATCAGGCTTCGAGTGATCTGCCTATCGAGGCACCATCTTTCCAAACTGCGACAGCTGTCTGCCGCTTTCAAGCTGTCTATGTCCTCACAAGACCGCGTCCGATCATGGCGCACATTAGCAGCACGGCTATGGTCGAGCCTTTGCATTTGCCCCTTCCACTCAAAAGAGACAGTCTCGGCAAATATCATGGTCGCATCACTATTAATATTTCCGCCTCAGGGTCCGGTAAAGTTGCGGTACTTCGTCAATGCAAACCGAAACATTTTCGAATGTGAAATGTCACTACCTGATCCACGTTCGTTGCAATCTGCTGTCAAGTCATCTTGTCCAGGTGATGGGTGCCATTTGTTTCGTCGCATGCTTCCGTACCGGGGACACTGCACACCTGCAAGCTAGATGTTAGATGAGAAATCGGCGGAGAGGTACATAAGACTAGCGAATGTTCGTCGCATGACATGACCACGCCGCCTGTGCCTTGTCCCCAGGCTTTTTTAATCGCATTTCGTTGAATCTCATGCACATTTGTCCCCTACATAACATACCGCCGTTCGTCTGTCATATTACTGCGAGACGTGAAATGCATTCCTTAGCAATAGCAGCGTCTCGTACATGGCATTCTGATGACTAATCCGACACGATCTGGTGCAATCTCCAAGGTTCCAAGGTTACCTTCTAGGTGGGTACATTACCAAGTTATGACTGGAAAGGTAGAGTATGGCAACTCGTCCTTATGCGGCTGTCGGAGTGCCCTGACCGATGTTTACCTGCTAGGCTACGGAGTTTAGTCACTGCATCTTTCGATGAGTATTGAGGTGGCATCCACTATGTATTTGTTCTTGGTTCATCAGCGAAGAAGGTAATCCTCCCATCGTGCCCACGTTCAAGCTCGCCCGATTTTTGAATTACTGTCTAGCGTACAAGTCTGTAGTCTCCAGAACGCAAACAATGTCTCACGAGATCCATAGATTCTATGCGATGACCTCGCTAACAAGACGATCAGCTATGAGCACTCGATCCAACAAGTGCCGACCTGCATGCCCTCAACGAGCATACCCACGATTGTCTAACTCGTCCCAAATCCTTCCTCCAGAAATCTGCACTAAAATGAGCGTCTTTCCATCGAACACATATCTTTTCCCGCAAGACAGAGACAAACCACTGAAGTATGTAGAAGATTCCAGAAGGCCCAATATTGTACATTGCATAATGAGTCGACGTGGTCGTGAGCCAGTAATCACAAGCGATCATCTTGTTTACACAGCAGTACACAGAGTCAAGGTTTTGAATCTTTGCCAGTCATGTACTCAAGAGCTTCCTCACTGTTCTAACACTCTGGGCACCTTTTATGTCCTTGGCTCCTGTGAGCTTCCATGCAGTATCGTACGAATGACCCGTTCCTTGCGACTGAAATTTGAAGAAGGTTATTTCCGTTCAATATAGAACGGTGCATTTTCGACACTACTAGGTAGTGGTGCATAAGAACGCGGAGAGCGGGCAAGAGCGATGGTTCGTCGTCGAATACCTTCCAAAAATGTATTCCCTCACAGGTTGGGAAGCTGTCATCGCGCTATAGAAGCAAAAATAGACGCACCCCACGCGGGACTCGAACCCGCAACCTCGAGATCTCTGGAACCAGCCGTTAACCCGGCATATAAATAGAAACCTACTTATAGAAGTCTCGCGCGCTACCATTGCGCCAGCAGGGCAACACAGCCGAGCTTGTTCGCTCCTGCCTTCATAACGCTCTTCCCTCTGTGCCGAGAGATTCCATACCGAACGCAGCATTCGCCAGGCGTTGTCTGTTGAGGCCGCCTACCCTCCATGAAAATTAGAGCGACGGCTGTACCCGCATCCGTACGGAAGATCGGGCAGCCTCAGTAGACAACACTGTTCCTCCCTCGCCTCCACACCTACGCTGTCTATGGATCGGTACAACTGGTGAATCCTGATCACATGCTCAAGGAAATTCGGGCAACTAATAGCGATCGCGAGCTCTGTCGACCCGCTCGTACAGGTCGTTAAATCGGAAGGGGTACTCTGACGGTTTAATAAAAATGATAATCTACCAGACTCTGCCCTTTTGGAGCAAAAAACAACCTGCAGTTTGGAGAGGAAGCTTATATTAGTCATCGGCCAGAGATAGTATCTGATGACTCATCGGAGTTGACCGAAGCCTGTATATGTATTCGCAAGCATACGCCTCCGTGTCGATTCATTGCACACACAAGATCTATATAGTTCCTAGATCGAGAAGGAATTTGCAGAACAAGGATAGCTTGTAGCTCTGCAGCAAGCATCTGCAGACTGGCTGTAAGAATGACACAGATGATGACGGTGGCCGACGCATTCGAAAGCGTACCCCTCTGTGTCGATTCATTGTATACACAAGATCTTTATAATTCCTGGATCCCAGAAGAAACTCCTCGAAACAAGTTCAGCTCATTATACGACAAGAATCTCCAGACTAGCTGCAAGAACAATACAAACGATGATAGTGGCCGTCGCACCATCCACTCTGCCATTAACATCTAGTATCTGAAAAATGAGTTCACACGTGAGATGCGTCGCTCGACCTCGTCGTGAAGTCGTGTCATCGCCCCTCCACCCGCGTTTGTCCCCTTCCCTCCGACGAGGTCGTCGACAACTTTCGACCGTCCAATGCCTGGCGTCGCTGTACGCAAGTGCAAGTTACGGATCTGAAGAAAGGCAAATGCATTAAGTAGTTGAGCGCGCGTCGAGCGCTCTACCCTGAGGCGGAATTCCAAAAGCATCTCCAAATTTACTGTGTCGATCTTCCATTACGAGAACAAGTAAGCGACCAGAAGAAAGCAGACATCGTAGCCGATATGCAAGCGAATGACGCATTGGGACCATAGGAGCTACTGACGTGCTGATCGCCTGCGCTATCTCCGAGAGAACTTGGTGAGTCCTGTCTATTAAGCGCTCTCTTGATTCTGTCCCGTCCTCTTTACGACGGGGCCTCGCTAATGATGGGCGCTGGTTGCCCCTGTGGATAGTAATAGGAGTCGCACTCCTATCAGTCGATGCGTTACTAGCAGCATCGTTAACCTCGCCTTCATTTCCAATATCAATCCTACTGCCCCTACCCGTCGACGTATCGTAGGCTCTACGCGGGTCGTTGCCTATCAACTCCTCTACATCTAGCACATCGAGGAATTTAAGCCATTGCTAACTATTTTCACTGGTGTTGTACTGGTCCCCATATTCTAAGATCGTTAGATTAAGTCGTGGTGGGAGAGATGTGACCTCGAATTGGTCGCCGCATATATCGTATGCGACTTATATAGTCCATTTATTTCTGAAATGGAACATCAGGGCCGGAATAAAAGCCAGAAGCCGGCGATATGAACAAGACTGTATACCTAGGTAGGTTAGGCTGTAGAGAAGTTCAAGGAAAGTAGAAGCCGGTATTACAGAATAAAGCCTTGCCTATGCTCATATGTCGAAGACCTTTTGGGTGAGCTACGGATGCTATCAATGCGCTAACTCCATATACGCCTCAATTGCGTTTCATATAATTAAACTTCGGCCCTCCAGACTGAGAGAAAGGCAGACGAGGATGGCCCCGACACGAGGATGTACATCGTCGCTCAGCTCTATTGCATTTGCAATTTTTGGTCTTTTGACCGCAGCCGGATTGACATTCGCACCCGAGTTCCCGCAATTGTTGCATCAAACCCATATGTGTGAGGAGAAGAAAAGATGATAGAAAAAAAGAAAGAGGAGAAATAGAAGAGACGCAGTCCAGTCACACGGTGGAACATATGGCGCTGGCGCTCACGGCGATGGCACCGGGGCCATAACGCAGGAGCGCTGCTGGATGAAGCCCATATGTGTAAGGACGAAGAAGCGGTCGACGACGAGATTGAATGTCGAAATGCGGTGATGACGATGTGCAGCCGAGATTTATAGGAGTGTCATTCAAGACGAGAAGCGTGCGTGCATTCGAGACGACGTCAGACACGGCCGCCGAAAGTTGCATCGCCGTGTTCAAGGTGACGTCGGAAATGGTCGCCGGGAATCGTGCGAGCGTCGTTCAGACAAGGTAGGAAATGTTCACCGGGAAAATGCAAATGCGGATGAGACGCAGAAGTTATATTGAAAGTCAAGCCGCGGCGAAGACCGTACCAAAAGATGGGCCCCGGTGGAAGTAGTATCGAAAGATGGGCCGCGGCGTGAGCAGCTGGAGCTATTCTATGCTACCGACGGCCCCACGTCTTGTACAAGAGGTCCTTTGGGAAGAGGTCCTGTAGGGAGATACAGGAGCAATTTCGAAAGATGGGCCGTGGCGTAAGCAGCCGGAGCCATACAACACAGGGTTACCGATAGCCTTGCATCTTGTACGAGAAATCCTCTTGGACCAAGGCAGGTGCCGCCGAGCTCACACTTGGAGCCTTCTTAACTATGAACGTCATCTGGGTTGTGTATCATCTACTCGATAAGCTCCAGGACCGGTAAGACGACCATGATGGCGATGATGATAATGGCGATAAAACCGGGGGAAACGCGAGATGGCCAAAGTGATCGTGCTCGAGGAAAGCTTTTTGAGAGCTTGAAATGAAGAAGAACACCTTTAAACAAGGTAAGTGTTTGCGGAATGAGGAGTGGGTCCGTTCGGATGTGCCCTTTGACTGTTAGTTCGTATCCAGCTGCAACCACTTGAGGTCGAGGCCCTGGATGCTCTGCATATCTCGTGGCCAGGACCATTACAGGAAGCTAGAACCATTTCAGCTTATCTTGAAGCACAAAATTCATAAACCGCCAGGAGCAAGACCCTGTACTCTTCGTCCTAGCCAGACCTAGAGCCGGTTCAAAGTCAAAAAGAAAGGGAAATCTGCTGTCAACTTGTGTCCTGTTGCACACGATTACTCATCATACTCAACGCTCCCAGGATTAGTCATCTTGACATCGATGTTGTAAAGGAGCATATGGCAAGCAGGAGGGCAACTCGCTACCGTGATGCTACTCTTGGCAACGCGATACGATGATCTCGGAGAATCTCCTCAAGCCATGATTGCAGGGCTGCATCGTCCAGCGTGTCGAGAACATCGGCATCATCCCTCACGACTCCTATCACTACTTTACGAGCACGCCATTCCAGTGCACGGAACAGCGGCATCAATTTGAATCGTTCCATCACTCGAACGAATGGAGGGACAGTGGAGATATGTGTCTGGCGCTGCATCTTGGCCAACTCTCTGATGACCTCGGTCAACTGTTTGATGGCTCGAGCCTGCTCAGCGACGGTGTCTTTGAGAGCCCGGTAGTCAGAAGTATTCGCAGGGGGAATGTTGGCAGTATCCGATGCGTAAATCTGCCGCGCGCCATTATTCATATGCGTGTGCGTGTGCGTGACTTCAAGCTCAGGCTCCGACTCTGGCTCAGCTTCGACTTCAGACTCGCCCGCATCAGGAGAGAGAGGGTCACAGTCAATTGGGGCAGGGGCTGGTGGAATTTCTCTATCGCCGAGTATCCGCCGCAATTCTTCCAAAAAGCGAGGCTTCTGTCTTCGGAATGGTCTGCATTGTGGGTTATCTTTATAGTGAGCATCTTCAATGTCGTTCGAGGTATGAGGTGCTTCGCCGGGCGCCACCTGCCATCCATCAACGTGGGCCAGGTGCCGGTGCCAATCATCCCATTGACTCTTTAGATGATTGAACTTGTTCTTGATCTTTCCCTCGGTCATCTCAACATCATACTTTTCGGCAAGGGCTTGAGCTGCGTCGCGATAATCGAATATGGTGAATGCACCCGACCCTGCCTGATGACCCGCATGTTTGAAATCTTCGAGATATTTGAGAAGATCTAGAACTTGATCCGCTGTCCAAATATGTGAACGCGCTCGATGGGCAGTCTTCTGTCTCTTAAACGCAAGAGATGATCTATTTGGCGTCAATTGCGACGACGTGCGTTGCGAAGTTGGTAAATTTGACGGTGAAGAGAAAAGGGCATCAACCGGCCCCGAAGCCATGAATCTCTCCATCAGTCGGAACAGCCGGTCGTTCTCATTCATGTCCGTACTTAATCGAAGATTATCACCACATTGAAGTCTACTATTATCCGATCATAAAGATGGCACGTTTGAGCTGGGAACCTTGGAACGGTTTCAATTCATTGAGCTTGGCCGGGATTGAGACGTGACGTAAGCAAGTCACGTTAACGCGGGCCACGTGAGCGCGGAACACACGGGGGCGCGGAACGCGACTTCTGAGGATATCGACACGTCAACTTCAACACGCGATGGCACCACCGAAACGCGTGCAATCAAGTCCAAATGAAGGAAGCATATTGCTTGCTATATCGGCTATTAGATCAGGCGAAATCAGTTCCATGAGTGCTGCAGCGAAAGCATTCAATGTCTCTAAAACAACACTTCATCGTAGACTTCAAGGAACCCCTTCACGAGAAGATTATATACCACAGAACATGAAGCTCAGCCTAATAGAAGAAGAGGCCCTTCTCCAAGGTATA